AGTTCCTTTCGATTCAGTCTGACGAGACAACTGACATCACGTGCGTTTCCCAACTGGCTGTGATTTTTCGGTTTGTGAAAGATGGTAAACCTACCGAGAGATTTCACAGCTTTGTACCAATCGTTGATCGCACGGCTTGCGGGATATCGGCTGTACTGAAAGAAGTGTTACAGCCTTACAACGCGAAGTCAAAATTGATAGCTCAAACTTATGACGGCGCGGCAGTCATGAGTGGGTCGAAACATGGTGTTCAAGTTTATATAAAAGAAGATTTTCCTCATGCGCATTTTTTACATTGTTATGCACACCAATTTAACCTCGTTATTAAAAATATGTGTCTTGATACCCCTCTCGTCCGTATATTTTTTGCAAATGTTTCGGGGTTTTCTTCATTTTTTTCCGTTTCGCCGAAGCGCTCTGACCTCCTTCGCCAGATATGTAGCCGCCGTCTCCCAGCTTGTGCACCAACACGTTGGAACTTCCAATCACGCGTGGTGCAGGGCGTGTCCGAAATTAGGTCTGAGCTCATTGAGTGTTTCAATGGCATTCAGAGCTCTCCGGTTTGGGACGAACGCTCTGTGAGGGAGGCGGCAGGTCTAAAGCGTCTGCTAGAAGATGGTGAGTTTTCATTTTTTCTCGCTTTTTTCTCCACAATATTCTATCACGTGGATGTATTATACGGCGCATTGCAGTCAAGGCTAATGGATGGAGCGTCTGTGCAGTCGTGTATTTCAGACTTCTGCGATGCTGTATCTCGTATCCGGGAAACAATAAAATACGACGACACATGGAGTGCTTCTTTACGCCGCGGGCAAACAACGCAGCGTTTGATTTTGTCTGCAAAGGAATGCTGTGACATTCTGGTGAATCAAATAGGCGATCGTCTGCGCACTGAACACCTTGCCGCGTTCTCTTTGATGAACCCCAAAAATTTTTCAAAATTTGCACGTCAATTTCCCATCCATTTGTTGGCTACTGTCTCCAAATTTTACCCCATGATAAACGTGGGTAAATTGGAAAATGAATTGCGATGTATATACACCAATCAAACTTTTTTGAACATCACATCAACTTGCGCGCTCTATGGGTTCCTCATAGATAACACTCTACTCTAGTAACTACCTTTGCGTCGTCTGCAAAATTTCTGGACATCATTTTGACGACGCCTATTTCTTCCGCCGACGCAGAGCGAACATTCAGCACGCTGAAGCGTATTAAAACGTATCTCAGAAACACAATGAAGCAAGATAGATTAAATTCCTTGGCTGTTTTATCCATTCACAGAGACGTTATTTCTGGGATGCATGACTTTAATCAGCGCGTTATTGAGCATTTTGCTTCCAAGAAACCGCGGCGTGTTGCATATATGTTCAAGCAGTAGAAGTCTAGCAGCATATATATCTATGAGTGAGCGACGCATGTCCTTATCTTTGCATTAACTTTCCTTTCTTCATAGTAACGTTTTAAACCTTATTTTAGGTTTTGTCTGCTTTCCCGAAGTTTCTGTTAATATGTCATTGTATTTATCTGGGTAAATATTGCCTTTCCTTTTGAAAGAGGTTTCAAAATAAACTATGTCTATATTTATTAATCCCTTGACTTGGACCGGTTTTAAAGACACTTTCTTATCGTTAAAAATTGTCGCTTTTGCCGATTGGTTGTTACCGATGGAATGGTTTTTATACTCATAAAATGATGGGAGAACTTACAGCGCTCATCCTGTCCCCGTAGATGGGGGTGACTTGGTCCCGCAGTAGCTTGCCCCGGTTGTCAAAATGACCACGCGCCGCCTCTGCATTTCAGGTATCGTAATAGTAAATCTCAAATCAAAGGCGAGTAACCATGAACACAAACAAAATTATTATGACAAGACAATAAAATGTTCGCTTCGGCCACGGATTGAATATTTTATGCAACAGAAAACCAGGGCTGCCACTTTTGCCTGTCTAAAAACATCCAATTGAGCTCGAAAAACATCCAGATTGAAAATAAAACATCTAGAAAGTACATCTAGATATGAAATCCTTGAATTTAATGAAAAGTAACCATAATACAGTAATACTAGATGTCGAAGAAGCTAACATCATAACCTAGAATTCAATTCCCACCTGCAGAACTTACAAAAGACCTTGTTCTTATCATCTGAAGGGGCAAACCATTCTTTAGCCAATCTTTTCCAAATTTTTGCTGGTAGTGTATACACTTTGGCATTTTGAATGGTTGATGTTTAAAGAGAGACACATTCAATAGCACTTATAGACTTAAATACCTTAATAATTTTGAAACCCCTTGGCAACAATATCATCGGACCAACGTCGTCCTTTCTATTAACGTTAATTAAAATGTCACATGTTTTAGACATGTTTATATCGTTATTCAAATATTTTAAGTACATATGGTTGTATGGTACCGGTGGACGAATACAATATGAATGAGTTCTATCAAATCTTACATCAATACTTCTAATAATATTCATTCACCTATCACAGTATTATACACATCTTTTTATTTATTTCCCACTGAATTTAGAACCTTGAAAAAATATATCTAGATTTTATAGCTAACATCTAGGCTCCAAATTTTACATCTAGATCTTGAAAAAAACATCTAGATCTTTATAAAACATCTAGAGTGTCAGCCCTAGAAAACTCGTTATCCGCTGAAAAAAAAGTCTTTTTTCAAAGGGCCTGATTCCCGAGCTAATTGAATGTTGCGCGGGAATTTTCGATTCCAAATTTGACCCCGCCTCCATTTTTAAAAATTCTGGATGCGCTCCTGCTGATAAATAATGTCATATATATATTTGAATTGCCGCATTGTTGCAACAGTTGCTTCATTGGACAGTTACAAAATTTGCCGATCAGTAATCGAATAGCTCGCAGAGCCCCTAGGTTTCTCTCACGGAGCCCTGGGGCTCCGCACGGAGCACTTTGGGAACCCAGAGTTTCCTAAACCTCGGACCCCATCCAAAGCTGTATCAGTTTCTGTGCCTAATCAACGAGTATGTTCCATTTGCAATACAACAACATTAATGTGATGGATGAGGTTGTTTTTCACTGCACAATTTCTGGGAGCAATTTGTGACAAGCAAACTCGTAAAAATTTTGTCCTCATATTGGTAGGAGCTGAAAATACTGCCTCACAAGTGCAAGTCGTTGCAAATAGGCAATACAATTTTAATTGTGGCCCGCGGGACTGCGTGGTTTGAATCACCCTGAGTAGGCTGAGCTGAAATCCAAATCAGTCAGTAACACCAAACATGAAATACACTATATTCTTAACTCTCGAATGGGGTACTTCACAGATTGGTCGGTATAGAGAAAGTTCTGCACGAAGATAAGGACAACCGCTACGATAAATAACCATCAGGGAAATTGACCTATTTTCATTGAATTCATCATGCTATTAATTTAAAGTGGTTAAATAACAATAAAATCCATAGGTATATTTTACATCCGGCACGAAATCCAAATTCCGAGATTTCTTAGTCACTCCCAACGACTAACGCTTTGTCACGAAATCTTAATCCTATTTTGAGCGTCAAAGGCAAGGGCGAGTGAGCAACATCCATTACCCACATATTTTACTGACAGACAAAAACCCGTATTGCAGTACTGTACTTGATATGTCTGTATGTACCGGTACTAATATCTTATCTCCATTTCTGGTACATAACGTCCAAGCGACAAGCGCGGCGGTATGGCTCCACGGGCTAAGCGTTAGGAATACGCTCGCCACCGCACCTCTAATTCTGTAATTACTCTGCGTGGGTTCGCAGGTTCGAATCCCATGCAGGGATGGTTATGTGCGAGAGGATTGCTGGACTCCTCGCCGTCGTTGGGTGGTTCACGTAACCGCTGGTCGGTTACGGCTTCCTCAACCACCAAGTCCATGCTTCCGAAAACAAACAATATAACTAATCCCATACCGGTACCTATACCCCAGACTGGATTCCATGGCAGGTGCACGCCCGAGGGCGCTAGCGCTCCGCAAAAATGCACGCGAGCGAAATCAATTTTGCACGCCGAAAATTTGCAATTGCTCACCAATGTAAATCGGTTTAAATGGTTTTAAAATCAATAATCCAGTAATATAAAGATGCCGAAATATTATAACTCCACAATTGTCGACAAATACCAGCCTGCAAGATTTGGTCTGATCGAAATATTGCGAAGCAAAAAGACCATGGACCTTTCCCCAACCTTTGACCCGCGAAAAATTCCTCTCATTGTTACGTCCTTTTTTGCATCTTGCTGATTGGCCAATGTCACGAAGTAAACAAGGAAGTCCATGTTCGGGAAAAGGTCCATATCGTGTTGAATGATAGGAATCCCGTGAGAATAGTTATGGACGAAAAGATCGCCTCCGCACCAATGGCCAAGTACGGCTCTGATTCAGCGTATTTTTCATACAATAATTTTACACGAATGTACTGAACAGTACCGGTATCTAAAGTTGCTCAAACACTCCCAAAATTAGTGACAAAGTATGAAAATAATGTTTGGGGTCAAAGGTCAAACGTCCATTTTGCTCTAATTTGACGTATTTTTTATCCATTAATTCTACGTAAAAACACTACCAAAATTAATGACAAAGTATGTCCATTTTGCTCTGGTTCAACGTATTTTTTATCCAATAATTTTACGCGGATGTACTGAACAGTACCGGTATCCAAAGTCGCACAAACACTCTCAAAGTTAGTGACAAACTGTAGAAATAATGTTTGGGGTCAAAGGTCAAACGTCCATTTTTTCTCTGATTCAACGTATTTTTTATCCGATACCGGTAATTTTACGCGGATGTATTGAGAGGTATCTGATGTCAAAGTCAGTTGCACGCGAGTGCAGTTGTTTTGCACATCGTGAGCTATAATTGCACGCCAGGAATTCTTATTTGCACGCGGGAATTTCTGATTGCACGCCCGATTTCTCGTTCAAAAAGGCCATGAAATCCAGACTGGCCTATACCCGACTTGGAATGGTAACCGGACGAGAGGCCGTGGTTCGCCATATGGATAGGCCGTCTTATCGGTTTTTCTCTCCCCCGGGATAAATATGTAAATCCTATCCTATCCAGTAGGCTATATTAATAACACCAGTACTGGCTTTTTCGAATCAGATAAGAAAGAATAGTAATAACATGAAATGCAATGGGTTCTAGTGACTGCTATGCGTATAGAGTGTCTATAATTCTTCCATTGTATAATGGTGAAAAGTGGTTGGAAGAATGCTTGAATTCTGTTCTCGAACAGACTTTTGACCAACGGATTCAACTATGCGTCTATAACGATGCAAGTACAGATTCTTCAATGAATGTTTTGAATGCCTATTCTGGACGCCTTGCGAAGAAAAAAATTGAATTGGTATTGACACAAGGAGACATTGAAGGGGGACCAAAAGGTATTAAGTAAGCTACTGTATGACTATCAGGCTGTATGATACTAAAGAGACCTTCAGCTCAATAAATTATGTTACTGCATTACTAGTTTTTTCGTCTTTGTTTTGTTGTTCATTTCACAGACATGACCATTACATGGTACTTCCCTGTGCAAGAAACATTCTGACATACCTATACTCATCACTATACAGTTATACTTCGTTGTGGTTCAGCTGCCAAAGCCATGCTATGCTCATTTATATTAAAATTGTCCAAAAAACGTAATTTCCTTAAAAAATAAAATTAGATATTGAACCTCGGGTGTCGCTGCGCGATAACCATTCCTGGTTCCCCGTGACTTCCCTTCCCCAGTAAAAATGTGTTTTCAGTTTTGTATTTTGTTAATTTTGTATGTAATTTTTTACTGAATGGGAAAAAATAAACTTGACTATGACTATGAAATTACTAAAGATTTAATACTGCGGTATCTAAGAAGTGAAGATCATACAATAAAATTTTGATAAATTTATTCTTGATTGTTCATTATATTATATTTTTCCCAAGGTTGCGGCTATGCGAAGAATAGAGCAGTTGCATCAAGCTCAGGAGAATATTTATGTTTTCTCGATGCTGATGATATTATGGAGAAAGAAAGAATACATGAACAACTTATTGCAGCTATGGAAACAAGTGAAGATACTTTGATTGGTTCAAAAGTATATTTTAATTTTTATTCATCATACTCGATCGAAAGCTACGTTTTGAATTGAAATCTTAATAACTTTTTTGTAAGGTTCAGTTTATGAATATTTAGAAGGCCATGTTCCATTTTTCTTATCAATAGATCATGGAAATAAAAATCAGAAGTTTTTATAGTACAGGAAGTTTTATTGTTCTTCAATGCTAGAATTCTGTAGCCAATGAAAATAGTATCTGGCTTCAGGTAATTCAAAAAACATGGTTCAACGTTGACTAAAGTTAATGCTCAAAATGTGAGCATAATTAAAATATATTTTCACTTGGCTTTTGTTTTGAAAAAGCTCAATCATTGAACTTTGAATCATACCATTCGAGCCGTTTATATGGAGCTAGAGTAGTTCAGAGGTATACGATTTGCTCACGTCCATTTCTGGTTTTTGTTCATACCCGTTTAACTTTAACAGATTAATTGTTTTGTAGGTTAAACGAGAACCTGAAGGCTCAACAGTTCGATACACTAAATGGATTAATGAGATTTCCCAGGAACAACTTTATACACAAATTTATACATCAAATGGACCATCAGTTGTTATGCCAACATGGTTTTGTCACAGAAATGTTTATGATAAAGTTAGTGGTTTCAATGAGGGCGGAAAAGGAGTACCAGAGGATTACTTGTTCTTCTTGGAACATTTGAAATTGGGAGGAAAGATACTTAGAGTGGATAGAGTTTTACTTATGTACAGGTTGGCTCACAAAGTTTTCAATATTCTCCATAGTTGGATACCTAGTATTGCTTAGGTCATTGCTATTGAGTGATCCACTAATTTGTTGGTTAATGATTTTGCATAAGATGACTTGTACTCAACTAACTGCCACAGAGAATTAGCTCAGTCCTTCAACTCGAGGTTTGTGTACTTATACCTGACACTCGTCATAACCATCTCTCGATCGCAAGTTATAAACCATATGCGGATGTTTATTTGTGATGAGATGAATTTTTTGCCTTGCAAGCGCTCGCTAGTTGCAGTATCACCCACTACCCAGGATCAGAAATATCCAAAGTATTTATTTCCCTATCAGACCGGATTATGGATGAAGTGTTATACATCATATGATTAAGTTGAGACTCCAAATCCATATTTGCTTATATAAGACCTTTGCTGGGCTATTATTATGTTTGCTTGAAATAGAAATACTCAATATAAGTTTTATTGTTTTCCAGTAATATTTATCAAAAGCTCTATACTGTCATTGGTAACTTCTTTCTTTCTAGACACCATCCAGATGCTACTACTGCATCTGTGTCAGAAAATACAATTTGGAAGATTCGAATTGAGGTAATTCAAGAAAGAGTATTGAAAGACTGGAAGCAATTTACAATTTGGAATGCTGGGAAGCAAGGACGTAAATTTTATCGGGACTTGACTGATGAAAATCGAGAAAAAGTTTCAGCATTTTGTGATGTTGATACAAAAAAGATAGACAAGGGAGTTTATATTTTCGAAAATTCCCCTTTGAAAGTAAAACCCAGAGTACCTATTTTACATTTTTCTAAAGCGGTAAAACCGTTCGTTATCTGTATGAAATTGGATTTGACAGGTGGTGAATTTGAGAAAAACTTAAATTCTTTGAATCTTGTGGAAGGCGTGGATTATTTTCATTTCAACTGAATCTTTGGAAGTTTTGCTAACGTAGTACATTTATTTTCAGTGGCAATACTTTTTTTTATATTTTTGAGATACTCATTTTAACAGTTTTATGGTGCATTACTTAACAATTTTAAATCGAAAGTTAACATGAGTTATTGGGTATAATCTCCTTATTACATATTTTATAAATGTTTATGTGAGCACTTGTTGCTGGCATGGTCCTGTGTTCCGGCAAACAGCATCTTCATGACCTATCAAATGTAATTACTATATGACCATAATGGTTTGTTTACTTTATGCAAAGCAAATAAATGTACGGGCATGAAGTGTCTTAAAGTATATCATCTAATTCTATCGTACTCACACCACAGTTATTTTATTGTAAATAAGTTAACTAAATAGAGAGGATACTTACATCAATGCAATCAGCAATTTCTTTCAGCATTTTTCAAGATATCCAAAGACAAAAACATGACACATATATCATCCATTTCAAGATGTAAGTGGGTAGTAATTTTTATTGGTCTTGCCTTGCAGGTTGTCGTTTACGACTTTGTAGACGTTCTTCCAGTCTTACAACCACAAACTATGCAACTCTCTAGCCAAGATTATTAGCTTTTGTGAAAGCATTCAACAAAATATATAGACGCATGAAATCCAAATTGGGCTAAGTCCATTTTTCTAGTTTTGAGAAAAACGCAAAAAACGTTTTTTATTTCTCTAATACCTTACATCGAGGATGTCTAGTTTTTATGGTCCACCAAAGTTAGATGGTATAAAAAAATTTGTGCTCCGCCGCAATTTTTTTTGGACTTGACCCTTTTTGGCTCTCAATTTTATTGGACTTAGGGTCCCTTTATTATGTTATTATAGAGGCTGGTATGGACTTAGCGCTTTGTATTATATTTTTTCAGAGGAGCTATGTCCGAAAAACGGACTTAGCCCCAACTTACAATGCAGTTATCCAGAGCTAAGTCCACTATAGTAGACACAGCTCTGTTTAGTTCTCAAATGCCCTAAAAAAAGCAGGGTTATGTCCATAGCTGTCTTGAGACCTAGAGATAAGGCAAATAGACCAAGCTAAGTCCAGGAAAATCAGCAATTGAAAAATGTCATTTTTTGGAAAAGTGGACTGTTTGGTTTTGAGGTGTCGATATGTTCGAGCGATGGGGTTCAGCATTGCTCGTTATCCCTCAAACAGGGACATAGGTTTCTTAATCTTTTGCAGCCCAACAAGTGGTTCAATCATTTTTCTGCTCAATAAATTGCCTGTTACGAATATGTATATTATGTGGATCATTTTTATTTTCATATTTCAGAATTTGTCAGCCGGCCGATATCAAACTTGATGAAAAACAAGCAGAAATTGAGATCTATAAATCCATGTCAACATTGCATGGGCAGGTTAGTAGCCTTAATAAGCCTAACGTGGTCGTCCTTGTTTTTAGCACAGACTCCCATAAAGTGAAACAAATTTTTTTGCTTTAGGCTGGGGTTGCATTCAGTCGAGAAATGGTGGAATACAATGAGACAGAAATGACTGGTTCAATTGAGATTTCAACAAAGGCGGTTTCAAGATTATGGAGTGCTCTTACATTGAAGAGTAGTGTAGAAGGCGGCAGATGTGCTATACGAGTCATCAACATAGTACCTCATGTATAACAAACACTGCCGTAACCACAGTATAATAGCAGGAAGAACAATGCCACCTCATGTATAACAAACACTGCCGTAACCACAGTATAATAGCAGGAAGAACAATGCCACAATGAAAAATTTTGTGGTTGATTGTATTTGGAATAAAAATTCATGATGTATACTGAACTTATTTGCAATATAGTATTGGAAAGAAATATGATATTGATTAGGCTAATTGCATAGGACGATATATTCGCACATGGAATTGATATCACATGTGATGTCCAAGAATGTTAGTTTCAATGCTTAATCATCTGCTTCTAATAAATTTTATAATGTTGATAATTATCTCGATTCATTTCATCTACTTCGGGACGCGAGTTGTCTTCATCAGTGGTTGGTTGAGAAGAAATTTTTCAAACATCGTATATGCGTAACTCGGTGCCCATTGAGGAACCATATGTCCAGAACCCTAGAAAAGGTTTGTAAGGAATGAATATCACATAATCAGAAAGCCTGGTTATGTTGTTAGCTTACAGATATTTATTGATATCTGCGACAAATGCACACTAGTGTGAATTAAAATTCCATAAAAACTACAAATTCATTTTATTAATGGCTCCTGATTAGATGAATAGAAGATAATAATACTTGCAATAATTACCTTAGATGAGTAAAGCCAAATGAAAATCCATATGTGAGACGTAGGGAGATTTTTTATAATAAAGAATACAATATAGAAAGGTTTTAAACCTATGAACTATGCATATACTTTTCTTTAAACCAGACTTGATATCAAATTTGGTACTCACTCTGATGGTAGTGTAGGTAAGTTGCTTGAATGCTCGAGTAAATCCGGCTACTTGTCCATCAACATACCATGGTACACGATCATGGACTGGTGGAAGTCCGAGAGAGTCCACGAACCACTCGTCTCCCAGGAAATTACAAGCCATATCAGTGTCTCCGTTGTACACTAGACCACGTAGTCCAGGAACTGCCATAAGTTTCTTATATTGTGCCATCATGTCAGAGAATTCACGTTTGTACTGAGATCCCACATCCTCACTAAAAAGAAAGAGTTGAAATCTTAATATATGCTTCATCGCACTGGGATGTGGGATTGAAGGAATCAGATACATGGGTATGTTCAGCACAGTCCATGCACTGAAACAACTGCTTAGCTATTCTGATACCAAACCATGACTGGTACAAAAGGTGGTGGTTCGACCTGAAGGAGCAAAATTGATCAGACATATGATAAATGGCTGATACTAGATTGGCTACATAGCCAATGGTGACAGCCTGGGAATAACAATTTAATGGTTTTCAAGTCCACTAAGAAAGAAAGCATTTGGTTGTTTATGAAGCTTTCTACATTTGTAGAGAACTATTACTTGATATCATTTTTAAAATGTGTCAATTATTTTTCAATGCAAATTTAATTTAATATGTCTTTTTTACCTTGCACCAAATGTTCTTGAGGCTATAATGTTTACTTGTTTGTGGGCGAGTAATTGAGTGAACAGTTAGCATTCTGGAGATATATATCATCATTTAATCAGAGCTTCGCCTATGAAATGAACAGGGAATCTATATCCTGATTTTATCAAAGGCCACGCTCCTATACACGCACGCACTTAAACCACAAAAGAAAAAAAAACATCATTGAATTGGTATTGAATATACCCATGCAGGTACATACAAGTAATAAGGTAACACAGCTACGATATTGATGGAATATTAGACTCTGTGGTCAACACTATTTTGTACACTTGTACCTGCAAATATCCCATTTGTGAAGATGGCTTGGTATGTGAAGAGCTTTTCGGACATCCGGTTTATTCAGATAATTCTTTTGTGCAGTAGAATTTATGCATGGAGGAGTTTCACGAAGAAGTGAATTGGCATATGGCATCTGCAAGATAAAGTGAGGTGTTTGTAGAGATGCTGAATCAAGATTACTGGATTAAATTATCACGATTCAGAGCAGGAGCCTTGGAATTTTGGAGGAGCCAGAGCTACCAAAAATATTAGTGGCTCCAGCTCCTATAATTATTTCTCCACATTCACAATTTTGTAAAACTTCAAACAAATACTAAACTCTATTCCTTTGATATTTCAATTTTTAAATTTGATTATTTATATAAATTTTTAGGTTTGAACTTAAATTTATACATCAATAACTTCAAAAAGTAATTTGGGCTAATGTTTCAGGGTGTGGTCATGCTAAGGCTAAAAAATTAATTAAGCTCTAGAGCTGGAGCCTTCATTTGCCAACTAGATATATTTTTTATAGGAGAGCAAATAGACGCAGATCCTATCATTTGAAAAGCACTACCTCAGTCCATTAGAACAAATAAAGCAGTTTACCTTTGTTGAGAGCAGCTTCTTACGAAATCCTGCATCAAGATTTCGAAACAAATTTGCCATTGTAAATTTATATGTTTTCTGTCTCTGACTACCGCCATCACAATCCATGTATAAAGCATATGTATTCAATCCACTGCTGTAGACTATTTCCATGACATTTTGTACCTGTGAGAAACAACAACAATTATGCATTTAAGCAAGCTCAGTTCTTATCAAAATTCATGCACATAGCACACCAAGACAGAAATAGCCTAGCACAGTGGTTCCCAACCTTTTATGGGTATTCATAGTATTATTTTGATTGGTATATTCCAAATCCCATTATAATCAAACAATGAATGCACAAGTGAAAAAAACACCCTGTGAAATAACCTCATCAGATAACGAAACTAAGGCGAACTGGGGATTTCCTTGTAAAACGAGCAAGGGCAAGATGTGTTTAAGCATCATTAAATCTTTTTACATTCCAGAATATTTTGTTCCTAAATTAAACAAACAATGTAATGGGATGCATTAGGTACTTACATAATCTCCACAAGCAGAATTTCTTGGCTCATGAAACGAGCAGTTATCTCTGGTAAATCACCTACACAACATGTACTAAGAAGTTTATTCCACAATCTGAAAAATAACAAAATACAATGCAACCTAGGATTGAAAAATATAAATATTCTTTTTGAAATATTTTTGGCGAAGGTCGTTTTGTTTTTCAAATACCTCAGTTTTGAACTTTTGATATAGGAAGAGGAAAGTCTATAGGACGGCTTACCATATGGCGAACTACGGCCTCTCGTCCAGTTACCATTCCATGTCGGGTGCGGGATCAGTTAGATATTTGTTTTTAGAAGCATGAACTTGGTGGTGGAGGAAGCCGTGACCGTCCGGTGGTTACGTGAACCCTACTGCGGCGAGGAGTCCAGCAATCCTCTCGTTCATAACTATCCCCGCAGGGTAATCAGAGGTGTGGTGGCAAACGTATTCCTAGCGCTAAGTGCAATGAGCCACACCACCGTGCAGTTCATCGTGATCCACAGTTCCATGTGATCTAAGCTCATTGGCTTTTCATCTCCCCACAGTACATAATGAAATTATCTAATGTTCTCAAAATTGATATAACATGACTTGGCTATTTTCATGTACAGTATGTTTCTTTCATTATAACAATATCATTCTTGTCACCATAGATGATTATAATTTAAATACGTACACATCTCCAAGAAGTCCATGATAATATGCAAAATATACCAGTGATTCGTCATTCAACTTCATACTACTCAAGCCATTACCAACAGCAAAGCCCTGAACAAAATTATTTTTTTTCAATGTAAAACTATAAGCAAGCTCAAATGCTGTTAAATATAAATAATAGCAACGACCATGATCATACCCATCGCCCTATCAATGCAGAATTGGATATCTATAACATGTTAGGTACTCCTTCTAAAATGCATTATACTTTATAGAAATTTATACAAACGTAGTTTGCCGTTGGTTGAATACTGTTTATTAGAATCTATAAACATCAGATTGAGAACATTCCCATTTTGGCAATTTGAGAATAAAAGAATACTAAGAAAGGTGAAAAACATCTCTAGAACATACTTGTAATATTGACTTAATGTTCTGAATTTTTCATCAAAACTAAGTTTTTTTTCTGTTTTAGATTGAAATGAATAGTGAAACAAACATAACAATGAAATAAATGTGCCCTAAGGCCAGCATTACTCAATTCAAGAATTTTATACTCCAATCACATTATGTTCGCTTGAAACCAGTATATTAAATCCTACTGGAAAAACAGTACTGGACATAAATAAAATCACCTTACTTGTGTACAAGTGCAATAATGCTGCTAGCAGTGATAAACAACTCTGTTATAATATACAGTAAGCAAAAAACAAGCTGTTTCATTATCTATTTGAGCTGATAAACCAAAATTGTTATTACAGTAATCTGCAATTTTGTGGTTACAACATATCATGTGACTCAAAAGTGTTAGATGAATCATGTGATGTACAATGATAACAAATCAATACTTTCTGAATGCATGACATATTGATATGCCGCTAACATTTGAAATGACTATTACATCAACATTGTAAGGATCATATATTTTACAATCACATTGGGAATTTTGAACATATTTGAAATGGTTAGCTAAAGTAAATAAATCTTATTAAAACTTCCAAAAGGTAATACTTACTTTCAAGTTAAGTTTTTTGTCATCAGCAATTTGTTCAGTCAAAGTAGGAACATAAACACCTCCATAACTTTCTCCAGTTACGTAGAATTCATTTTTCAAATATTCAGGAAATTTTTTAAAAAAATCCAGCAATGCAGCATAGTTATGCGATGCTACCTAAAAAGAATTTGAAAAGAGTTTAGTTTAATACCATTTTTGGCATAACGAGTTCCCTAGGGATATTACATAGCATGCGTGCCGCGACAACGAATGAAAACTATTTAGTAATGAGTTTGAAACTTCCGGAAAATAGGGGAAATATTATAGCTGGGGCCACATACCGATATGTATGGTTGAAGTATTTGGACTGATGGTATTCAACTGGACCCTAGAATATAATAAGATAAACACCAAAATACTTTTGAATTTATAAAACTGAAGGCTTTATACAGAGGCATTTATGATTGAGATCCAATAAATTTATTGATATGGTATATAGACAACAAAGCGAACAACCTAGAAACAAGTCCAAAATCCGTTTTGAGTCATATTGTAGAGCCAATTAAATATCGCTAAACTATTATAAGGTGTTTAAAATAACAAGAGCATGACAATGTTTTGAATTCACTAAAATAACTACAGCTTTTACTTTTGATTTCATACTTCTTTAAAATATCATAAATACCAAGAGCAAGTACTGGTTAAGGAGGTGATTTCGGCTTACTGCAATGTCATCCATGAACAAACATTCATTCCATCAAGTTGATGAATAACAAGGTGTATAATTTTATGAAAAGATCCATGGATGATTTCTGAACAACTGAGCTTTGATTAAAAGTGCATTACCTCTGAATCTCCAGTCTTGACATTGTTGTTATCATCATAAGAGTATCCGACACCAGCTGGTGATTCAAGGAAAATTACATTTGCAAGTTTGTTCCAACTGTACGGGTTCATGTATAGAGAATTGCCATCATTATGTACCTATGATAACAATATTGTTTTAATAAAGTAAATAATATAAAACACAATTAAAGAATATATAAATAATAGATATGATTGAACATATTTTGAACAACATAAATAAATCCATTTTGAAAGTCAATCCATTTCAGTACTGTACCTATTCCCATTCATTGAAAGTGAAAAGCATATATATATATATATTAGTTGTAATTTACACCCTTCACGTAATCACTCTTTGCGTGTTCAAGTGAAATTTTACAAAGCAAGAAAATTATCATTTTGTGTTGTGGCTATATTGTTGCATTTATATCCCAAGACTTCAAAATCTAGATTTCAAACAAAGATGGCAGGGAAACTGTCAAATAATTTAAATATTATTAATACAAAATATATCTTCAATAAAAATATCACACATGAATAGGTCCATTTTCTGACAGCAATCCATCGAGTGAACTACATCCTGGTCCTCCATTCAACCATAACACAACAGGATCAGAAGCTGGATTGCGTTGTGACTCCACAAACCTAATAAAAAAGATGAAATAACACATTCACTGGTACCACTATAGCCTGAGGTCTACCTCTGTAATTTGTTACCGAAACGCAGCAGTTTGGATTGTTTTCTAAAATGGTTTGTTCATCGGTGATACATGACAGTGAACACAAAATGGTCCCCAAAATAATATTAGAGATAAGTTTGTCTTCTGTTATTTCAGTAGTTCTCTTCATACCCTTATCGTAAGCATGGGGGGGGCCCCACTGCCGCTATGTTTAAAATTACTATTTTTATACATATCATGGTTGGCAAATGAAAATAGAGCTAAGATGAATCAATCCAGAATACTTTAATAAGAAATCTTGGTAAATACAGAATAACTATTTTATCTGGATATCTCCAATACTGATATACAACTAAACATAGGTCACGAAGGTTTTCAACTCAAAATGATAAGAAATCTAACAAGGTCATAATCAATTATGCTCATAGTTCTTCAAGTCCCATTGGGAAAAAGCATTTTACAATATATCATATGGTCCAAAACCTGTTATAATAATGTGGGATTTTATTTTGAGTAATAATTTCATTCAATTTCGAAGTATACAGCTGATAACTGAGACTTGAAAATTGAAAAACACTAAAATATCAATCAACAAAATCCACTTCAATTCAAGCGGGCAAAAAATTGCACTCAATTAAATATTCCCGATAAAAATCAATAGAAATTTCTTTACCAATAATGAAGATGCTTAGTTCCAGAAGCTTGCAAATATCCAGAATATTGTTTGAATTTTGGAAGAGTTGACAAACCAGGTAATTCCGTGATCAAATCTTCTTGAGGAGCTGCGTTTGTACAAGCAACCGTAAAACAAAAAATTCCAAACAAAGCCAAAGTATACCCACCCATCATTAGTTTAATATTTATTAAACGGAATAAACTTAAATATAAACTACAACAAGACAATGCATAAAAAATTATGAACATATGTGTTTTATTCATTACACATTCAGATGACTACAGTTGAGAGTGCTGACAAAAATTGACATTTATTTCAGAGTTTCTCGTGGAGAAATCAGAAATAAGTTGACAGAATTCAGTCAGAGAAGCATAATACCAATAAATGACAATTAAATCAAGCTTGTATTTAGTTTCAAAAAAAGTTTAAGATTTTCAGAAAACTTTTTGAAAATACAGATGAATAGATTTATCAAATTTTGAGGAATTTTCTTATTTTATACTAACTTGTTAAAATAAAATCTGACATATTACCTATTCAAGATTAAGTATCGCCCAATGTCATCAAAATATACCTATTTGCTCATTTCCTATTTTTTTCTCACGATATTGTTCTTTTTCAAAAAGATTTGAAAAAAAAAGTGAAAAAGCATATCTTTTCGACTCTCATAATGAATGGCAAAAAAGTTACATAAAAGAGATAGAAAATCTTTTATTATATATGTGTAAATAAAAAAGATATTGCAGACAAAATTACCATAATTGCTCTCCTTTATAATAAGTGGTATATAAAACAAAACTAATTGAAGTGAGTATTATATTAAATAAAAGATGGCCACAGCAAAGAATATTTCAGAATTCTAGTCCCAATTCTTATAAAAACAATTATCACCTACGGTAAACAAAACATATTATTACAAACTTTTTTTTCACTTTTGATACAATTATTGAATGTACTGAGTATCTTTCCCTTTGAAATAAGTATGATTACATTTTGTTCCAAATTTAGAATTTAACTTTTCAATTTGAAAATCAATAATGGGCCTACTTATTGTACCGACGCAATTGATAAAACTACCTACGATCCATTAGCACCAGTATATATTTATCAAAAAACCTTACTAAGAAGAAATAAAAAGTAGAATGATAAATATGAAAAAACTTGTTGCACGTTACAAATCTAGCTAATCTACATAGAAAGAATCCTCAGTTTTACATTTTGCATCATAATTTATTCAGCTCATGAATATTTTAAATTTGAATTGGTTTAACATTGAATATGTTTTCACTCAAATAATGCTCTTTAAGATTAATTAAAAGTTTTGAATACATGTAGAACTTTCGATAAAATCAGATAACCTTTCTCGGACAAGTTGAAATTAGGCAAGATAAAAATATTCCAAATACCATAATTTTAATATATTTTTCAAGTTTTTTTAAACACATAGAAAAAGCCAATTTGAAATCACATTGTAAAATTATGTCAATAAACCGAACCAATATTGATATGGAGTTTTCACAAAGATTTAAAGCATATGATGTCATTCTTGCTTATAGAGCACAAACATTCACCATACGAGAAAAAAATGTATGGCTATGCCTGTATAGAAATAAACGTAAGTATTCATATGAAGTATTGCTCTTGGAACAATAAATTTGCCACCTCCACAAACTTAGGAAAGTGTTAGTAATACAAAGAGTCTAGGCTTGCACGTAATTTACGGATTTACGGAATTACGTAATTATTTGGAGTTACGGAAGGGAAGTTACGAATTACGTAAAGTCGTAATTATTGCATTAAAACGAGCTTTCTTCAAAGCAGTCAATTTCGTCTATTGCGAAAAATGAAAGCTCAACAAGTAGAAGAAGTTAGAGTTCCGGTATTCGCAGCCGTTTTTCTCTCTCTTGTTACGTAGGTGAGGGAAGGCATGACGCGTTGCCATTTAGTAACCTATTATCAACTTCTCTGGCATGGCCAATGTAAATTATTAACGTAGTTAAGGGGGAAGAACTGAGTAGGGCCGTTTAACGCCAACACACCTGGTTTTAACTTCTCCCGCAACTTAACCGTAGATAAGGGAAAGAATTGCGTTGAGACCGGTTGACGCCAACACACCTGGTTTCAACTTCTCTCGCATCTTATCTAGCATGGCCATGGCCAATGTACATAATAACCGTAGATAGGGGGAAGAATTGTGTTAGGACCGATGGACGCTAACACGCCCGGTTTCAACTTCTTCGGGTGAAATGACTAATGAACGCAGGAGATCAATCTATCAAACACGGTCTATCAAACATTTGTATCCATTTTACTTCTATTTATTATTTACTTGTTCCAGTTTTCCGTTACTTATGGTATATATGTTCCGTTTCTATTTTATTCTATTTTATAGTCACGCGTTTAAATAGTGGGAATTCCCCACCAAGTGTGGATTAGCAATGCTTAACCATTTTTTATTGTTAATATCAACACTTGATATATGAACATGGAATATCATACTGTTTTTGGCTGTTTTATTTCAGACTTGGGGTATAAACAGGAAAATATCCATAACCTTTCAACACGACGATCTTGTGAAATTTAACGAAGAGCTTTCGCGACGAATTGGAACCAAATAAGCGAAAAGAGCGATTGATCACTCGCGCCAATAACTCGCCGTGATAATTATTGTCGCGCTTATCAAATAGCAATATGGCGAAAAAAGAGAAATTGCGTAATGAACCAAAGCAACTTCGTCTTCTCGGCATCGGTAAAGCGATTGAGACGGCAGAGAAACAGCAAAACGACGGATTCCTCGCGGACCGCTGAAAATTTAACTGCTATCATATATAATCAAATAGGAGCCAGTGTGTTTATTCTGTGCGAGATCCATTTTCTATTACAAAATCTTGATGTTCTGTTTACGGTTTTATCGTTATATATCAGTCCGGACTTGGCCTTGCTCATAATGTTTTTCACAATTCCTCTCAATATTTCGGTCATATATGATTAACTGTCTTACCAAATGCAGCAACTTATTTTGATTTATCGTCGACTTGAATACCACCGGCACTCGACCAAACTTGTGTCAATCTTGGCCGATAGGATCGCCGACTTGAAATAGCAAATAAATGTCGTGAGTGTAAAATAAATGTCACAAAATGCATTGTTTTGCGATATAACTTTGTATTTTCGGAGAAGGCATATCATATAAGTTCGATATTTAAATTATACGCAAATGAATAATATTTAATCTAAATTTATCGCAAATAATGTTATAAGCATTCAGTCCGCGAAATGATTAAAAGTAAAATGAAGCATGGTAATCGGAATATCGTCAATAAGTCGACATCAATAATTATTATTATAAAATGCTAACAAGGCAGTAATGTCGGATAATGCAGGAGACGCTGCAAAAACAAGTCTTCGTCGCGAGGAAATCGCAAGTATAATCAAACGAGAGAATACGCTCGTCGTTGGTTAATAAATTAGAAACCCGTAATTTTTATTCAGTATTAAGGTGGTTTTAAAAAACTATCGTTTCCATAAATATCCGTATACCAGTGTCGGTAATGATAAAATAAAATTGATCGCATAAAAATGGGACGGTTAATTTGCGAAGGTGATAAAGGAAAACCAAAGCTAACACAAAAGATAAAAATCAGAATAAAATTAATTTGAATTCACTCCTTGATATTTGTCTTTAACATCTGCCGACGGCGTGTAGTACTGCCAAGAATATGAAAACCCAACTTCAATGTCCCATTCGGAAAAGAAGTGGATTCAATTGGTTGTTATGGTAGGTTTAAATGCGTGGAAAAATATCGCAATTACGGGGTCATTACGTAATTGATTTTGCCGTAATTACGGAATTGATTTTTGTCAATTACGTGCAAGCCTAACAAAGACAATAAATAGCTGAATATAAAATAAAATGCTTGTTAGCATTATCATATTGAACTAACATAGTTTGTTCCACATTTTGATAATTCATTTCTGAAATTCTGTTATGCACTACAATTAAATAAGTACTGGTGCGGTGACATTACATGCGTTTATAGCCAACAAATAATAGCTTTTACAGATCGCAGCAAACAACCAAACATTTATACACAATTGTTATTGTCAGGAAAGAAATTCATGATCATATGTACTTGATTTCATTGACATACTTACATCGATCAAAAAGATAAAAGATGTAAAACAATATGACATAAATCTGATTATAAATTACAACAGTAAAACATATTCACTTGTTGAATGAACAGGGATGTAAGGAAATCATTATCTGAATGGGGTTTTGAAAATATCTGTAAATGTTGCTTATTGTAAAAATAATTGACTGCCTAAGAGGCGGTAAAATTATGGTTGGTATCAAAATCTTAAAGATCGACCATATCTAAACATAACACATTGACACAAACTTTACAACAACATAACAAATGTAAACAATTGTTTCATCAACTTTTATTTGTTTGTAATTTACTAGAAAACCACGAGCTTAGAGATGTTCTCGCAGATCCAATAGCACTTCCAAGATATCTTCCTGTATTAACTATTGTATCGTTTGCGTTTGATAATGCGCCCTCAATTTTTCTGCCTTGCTCACTGTTTTGCAATCGATGATGCAATCGTAACTTCATATCATTGATTGAATATTGTGCATGAAATGGATGTTGATATTCAGATTCACCATCAATCACTTTGTGATCTCCTGTCTTCCATATTCTATAGTTTTTTGTGCGTTTCCAAGATGCTAAAAATGCCTCATTATAATCTTGTAACAGTTTTGGGTCTATCTCATCTTGGATCGTAATTGAAAGCATTTTTTGTAAATATTCTTCAAATAAACTCCGCAGCCATTCGTCTCCTCCTTTCCACACTGTTGCCACATTATGAAAAACATCTGCATCATCATCATCTTCACAAATATTCGAAACAATATACTCCGCAAAACGCAAGTCAGCAGAAGACAAAGCAAGTTGTCTTTGAAGCGATAAATCATGGAAAATGATTTCAGAATTTTCGACGTCGATAACAACATCAGAGAGTTCTTTACGAGTTTTGAATAAAATATTTGTGGCACCCACAACAAATCCTTTTCTTGACCCTTGGTTTAATAGATCATGATGTTGTAATGAAATATATGGAAGACATAAATTCCCATCTGTAAATATATTCAGTGGAAATCCATAATCATCCAAATTATATGAAGCCGGTTTTAGGTTATCGTATAACAATGTATCCTCAACTTGTGTAGTTTGTAAGGTCTGTGGGCTTATCTTCTCCGGAGAATCCATTGCCATTTCAAGCCTTGCATTTCCCAGTTTAAGAATGTAATTTTCCTCATCATCATGCTCTGGATCTAAGTGATGATAGGCAGGTGAATCTTCCATTTGTTCATTGGTTTCAGGACTCTCTTGAGCAGGTCTAAAAAATCCGAGTTTGCCGGCAATTCTAGTAGCAATACCACTAGATCGTTTGATACTCTGCCCATCTAGTGGAGGCTTACTAATATCTGTATCATCTGTTTTTAGACTTCCCAAAATTACTTCATTGGGAAATTCGTCATTATCAAGTGGCTTTTCAAGTAATTCAAAGCCTTGTTCGTCTGCTTCAGATTTCTCATGACTTTCAGATTCTTCAGCTGTATTCAATACAATATCCTCCTCCATAGAATCAGAACTACTTTCATCTTTTATTACATTTTTGAGCAAGCCATTAACACTGGATGGATTGACAGTATCTACAACAATTTTCAGTTTTGATTCACTTTCATCCTGAATATTTTCATCTTTGGAGATATTTTTGTTGTCAGGGATCACAGTGCATTCAGAAAGACCAACTTCAATCATGCGAGGAAACAGTGAAAGGAGTGATAATAAAGCGCCAACTAATTCACTGGCAGGTGTTGCATAAAATACAACACGTTTTTCCAGTAAAATTAGTTTGAATAGAATGAGCAATTTGTGTTTAAAATTAGTCAGTAACTTTCTTACAGACAATCCGAAAAATAAATGTGACTCATCGGGTACGCTGAGTGACGCATTGATGTGATCATACAATTCTTGCAAAACATTTTTTTGTGAAAAATTTTCCAAAAAGGCATTTGTTATGACTGGCAGTTGTAGTTTTGCGTGAATTAAGCCAAATGCGGGTACTTTACTCAATATGACAACACTTTTCTGTACTGTACCGCGAGTGATGTCAGCGTCTCTTTGGGTTAATTGGTTGGCGTCTACCTGTCGACAATATGACACACAGTACACTGTTTGCTTCAACTCAAACTCTTTTCTTGGTGGCAAGTGAAAATAAACAACGTCCTCTGGGAAGTTATGCGCACCATCCGGCATGGCAAGATATGGTAGAAACTTCCATTCTTCGGGCAAAAACAGCTTGTCCCCGGACTCGCAACTCTCCTTTAAAGGCGGATACGCATACTCCAAAACGCAACCCTTCTTATGATGAAAGCCGATCAAAAATACATGGTGAAGATTGCCTTGCTTCGTGAAGACTCCGCCCAAATCTTCCGCCATCACTAACTGACTGACGACAGGCGGGCAAGAATTTGAATGCCAACCTAATGCTGTACCTAATGAGCTCTCGTACAAAACGCTCAACTAGACAAGTGAGTCTCGTGACCGCCAGTCGCTTATTTGTTTGTCCGCAGCCGTTAAGGGGATTTCCCTATCTATCCCAGCATCGAATTGTTCGAAAAGTATATTCACTTTGGAAACCATAAGATCCTACTTCGACTATGAGATTTCTGTGTGTTTGTTGGGTACAAAATATAACTATAGATCCCTTTGTTATTATGTTGTTATTGGCGAAAGTATTCGTTTTCTCGTTTGTATGGTTGTTGTGGAAAGATCGGATTTCCCTTCAACTGGATCGATGGACCTTTCCCCGAGCATCGACTTCCTTGTTTACTACGTGGCATTTACCAATCAGCAAGACGCACAAAGTGACGTAACAATTCTCCCTCTGTGCATCCGATCCGTTTTCGCGTTTTTGCACTCTATTCGTTAGTTTTCAGTTGTGTTTTGAAAATTCAAATATAAATCAGATAATTTAATGACCACTTTGTCTTCATAAGAGTTTTAATTTAACTGCAGTAAGAAAATAGTGTAGAAATAGCTGTGATAGACTGGGCTAAAATTCTTTATCGGTACTTTTAAAAAACAGATTATTGTATGCGGTGAATCATAATGACGATTTGAAACAAATACCCAATTTTACAGCCGCCAACTCGCAAAACCACACTTAAAATGAGCCCCGGAAATATTGCGATGGTAAAGTATGGGAGGAATTTTTTGGGGGTCATAGCTCGGGGAAAATTCCATTGCTTCAAATTTATCAGTGGTTGAAGATTGTTGCTATCGCTAGAAGCGTAAATATATACTACTACGCTAGAAGGCTATTACAATCTGTAACCACTGGAAGTTTTAATTCAATTGGTCAAGCAGTTGATGAAAAATATTTTTTCACACCAACAAGAACATGCAAAATAATTCTAACAACAACATACCGTTATGGATGTATTCCCGACCCTTCGCACCACAAAAAATTTACGACACGGCGGTGTGGCTCATCGTGCTAAGCGTTAGAAATACGCTCACCACGGCACTTCTGATTACTTTGCGTGGGTTCGCGGGTTCGAATCCCATGCGGGGATGGTTATGTGCGAGAGGATCGCTGGACTCCTCGTCGCGGTAGTGTGGTTCGCGTAATCGCTGGTCGGTCACGGCTTCCTCCACCATAAAGTCCATGCTTCCGAAAACAAATACCTAACTAACCCCATACCGGTACCCGACATGGACTAGTATCCGGACGACAGACCGTGGTTTGCTGTATGGTTAAGCAGTTTTATTGGCTCTCCTCTCCATCGGGATGAATATGTAAATCCTATCCTATGCTATACTTTACTATTGCAATTCTTTGGATGCTTATTGGACACGTTAGTTGAAATAACGATCGTGTTGGGACACGTTAGTGGACTCTTTTGATTACTGGACCAATTGCTTTGGAATTTTCAGTGCTTGAAAATTAAATTTTTCGCGACCAGACTATTACTTTCATTTATTTCAGGTATACCGGTGAGCTACATGGGATTCGTTTTTATGTGCTATGACGTCTGCGAATTTGTCAATGTGTGTCGCTACGTGTCCATATATTTGAGCATAGCTCCCTTGTTCTTTGACACATAATTTCATCGATAATAAAAAAAAAAAATTTTCTCATTGATTACTGGACCAATTGCTTCGAAATTATCAGTGGTTGAATATGGAATTTTTTTCTAGGAGGCTGTTATTTTTATTTTTTTTTTCAAATTTTTCGTGAATCCTATGAGATTCAATATTTGATACAAAATTTTGCTGTATTACTCTTTAATCATGGGAACACGATTTTTTAATACGCCAAGCGCGACAGCCGATTTCGGGAATTCTTGCTCAAGTAGAATTTTGAGGTTACCACTTACCAGTACTGTACTGGTACCCAGTGGCGGCGCGTCAATAGGGCCAACCGGGGCAATGCCCTGGTTGTTTTTTCGGTATAATAAAAAATATTCGAAAAATACCTCAATATCGGTTGCACAGACTGTCTACACTAGCCATATTCTCCCGACATGGTTCATTTTTCGCTCGCAAAGCCTTCGCCGAACGTCGACGGGGCGACGGGCTCATTGTATATCGTATTCTCTCTTTTATCTTCCACTCGCCGCGTTTGTCTCGTTTGTTTTCTGTTTCTTTTACTAAATCATCGGGGCCGATCGGGGCTAGCCCCGAAATTATGACGACACAATGCCGACGTTTCTTACAACAACGTGTTGACATATTCACGCATTCCTTCTCGTTCGTTGCTTGAAGAGTTGATAGTTTCCTCGCCTTCGCTTTTGTCGCTTGTTTCGCTATTTGAATCAGTTAGAGACCTTTAGTCCATTTGCTTTCGATTTTCCACATTCCTTTTGAGCTCCTCACTTCTTTCCGGCTTCGCATTTCTTAGCCTTAGACCTCATAATGAATAAGGTTGATGCACTACTTCGCACTCCGTTTTCGCAGCTGCCGCTGGAACAAAAATTGGAGGTACAACGTCTTGGGCCTTATCAACCAAAAAATTGTTCACTGGTACAATCCCATGACGGAGGAAAGCGTCGGCGTACATTCTGCGCAGAAACTTGGTATAAAAAACACGAATGGTTGTGTTACAGCGAGGACAAAAATGCACTTTTTTGTTTTTATTGCCTACTTTTTGCTACCTCCCGTGACTCACGTTGGTGTAAATTTGGTTTTAGATATCTTAAACATCTTTCCGAGCGTGCCAGGGATCATCAATCTTCTATGGAGCATCTGGACAATGCAGTAAAATACTGAACACTCGGAAATGTTAATATTGCAGCACAGTTGGATGAAGGACGCGCGGTTTCTATTCGTCGGCACAACCAAAACGTCGAGAAAAACCGCCATGTTCTCGGTCGATTGATAGATGTTTTGAAGTTCATTGGTTGTCACGAGCTGTCCCTCCGTGGGCACGATGAACGGGCTGGCTCTTCTAATAGAGGGGTATTTTTGGATATGGTGGAATACACCGCATCCCTAGATGCAGTATTGAGAGATCATCTTGATGCCGCAACTGTTTCGAAAGGGACATCTAAGGATATCCAAAATGATTTGCTCGACTCAATGTATAAATTTATTTACAACATTTGGCTCTGGAAATTGAGAATTGCCAGTTCCTTTCGATTCAGTCTGACGAGACAACTGACATCACGTGCGTTTCCCAACTGGCTGTGATTTTTCGGTTTGTGAAAGATGGTAAACCTACCGAGAGATTTCACAGCTTTGAACCAATCGTTGATCGCACGGCTTGCGGGATATCGGCTGTACTGAAAGAAGTGTTACAGCCTTACAACGCGAAGTCAAAATTGATAGCTCAAACTTATGACGGCGCGGCAGTCATGAGTGGGTCGAAACATGGTGTTCAAGTTTATATAAAAGAAGATTTTCCTCATGCGCATTTTTTACATTGTTATGCACACCAATTTAACCTCGTTATTAAAAATATGTGTCTTGATACCCCTCTCGTCCGTATATTTTTTGCAAATGTTTCGGGGTTTTCTTCATTTTTTCTCCGTTTCGCCGAAGCGCTCTGACCTCCTTCGCCAGATATGTAGCCGCCGTCTCCCAGCTTGTGCACCAACACGTTGGAACTTCCAATCACGCGTGGTGCAGGGCGTGTCCGAAATTAGGTCTGAGCTCATTGAGTGTTTCAATGGCATTCAGAGCTCTCCGGTTTGGGACGAACGCTCTGTGAGGGAGGCGGCAGGTCTAAAGCGTCTGCTAGAAGATGGTGAGTTTTCATTTTTTCTCGCTTTTTTCTCCACAATATTCTATCACGTGGATGTATTATACGGCGCATTGCAGTCAAGGCTAATGAATGGAGCGTCTGTGCAGTCGTGTATTTCAGACTTCTGCGATGCTGTATCTCGTATCCGGGAAACAATAAAATACGACGACACATAGTGAGCTTCTTTACGCCGCGGGCAAACAACGCAGCGTTTGATTTTGTCTGCAAAGGAAAGCTGTGACATTCTGGTGAATCAAATAGGCGATCGTCTGCGCACTGAACACCTTGCCGCGTTCTCTTTGATGAACCCCAAAAATTTTTCAAAATTTGCACGTTAATTTCCCATCCATTTGTTGGCTACAGTCTCCAAATTTTACCCCATGATAAACGTGGGTAAATTGGAAAATGAATTGCGATGTATATACTTTTTTGAACATCACATCAACTTGCGCGCTCTATGAGTTCCTTATAGATAACACTCTAGTAACTACCTTTGCAGCGTCTGCAAAATTTCTGGACATCATTTTGACGACGCCTATTTCTTCCGCCGACGCAGAGCGAACATTCAGCACGCTGAAGCGTATTAAAACGTATCTCAGAAACACAATGGAGCAAGATAGATTAAATTCCTTGGCTGTTTTATCCATTCACAGAGACGTTATTTCTGGGATGCATGACTTTAATCAGCGCGTTATTGAGCATCTTGCTTCCAAGAAACCGCGGCGTGTTGCATATATGTTCAAGCATTAGAAGTCTAGCAGCATATATATCTATGAGTGAGCGACGCATGTCCTTATTTTTGCATTAACTTTCCTTTCTTCATAGTAACGTTTTAAACCTTATTTTAGGTTTTGTCTGCTTTCCCGAAGTTTCTGTTAATATGTCATTGTATTTATCTGGGTAAATATTGCCTTTCCTTTTGAAAGAGGTTTCAAAATAAACTAGGCTATGTCTATATTTATTAATCCCTTGACTTGGACCGGTTTTAAAGACACTTTCTTATCGTTAAAAATTGTCGCTTTTGCCGATTGGTTGTTACCGATGGAATGGTTTTTATACTCATAAAAGGATGGGAGAACTTACAGCGCTCATCCTGTCCCCGTAGATGGGGGTGACTTGGTCCCGCAGTAGCTTGCCCCGGTTGTCAAAATAACCACGCGCCGCCACTGCTGGTACCCAACACGCAATGTTGCGAAGGTAAGGTAAACTACTGCTTCGCTTGATGTTCATATATTTGTAGACAGCGTTACTTACTGTTATAATACCGCAGTAACTCGAATCATTTGGTAAGTCAATTCACGTTAAAACAGAATCATCACAGATTCTGTAAAATTCGTGTACCGGTAACAGTGCCGCTTTGCCGATATGAAAGCCCAAACTGTCTCTTGAAAGGGGGCTTGCAGTCACAGTTATAATTCATGTCTTTTAAAATGGGGGCTTCTTTGAAGTCATTAAACTGCGCTTGGTGTTAATATATTTGTAGACTGTGGTATCTGCATTTACGTGTCCATATATTTAGGCCTAGCTCTCTTGTTTTGCGAGAGTGATTCATTTTCAATAAAATATACAGCCACATGCCTCTTACGTGGACTAATACGGTAGCAAATTTTAGCCTAGTCTATTGCAGCTTTTCCAGGACTAATTTTTGATTATTGCAGATAAACTAGACTAGAGCTTATCGGAAGATATAATGACAAATAAAATACTTCATTTACAACTTATTTTTGAAAGCACAGCTGAAAACTGACAAATAACTTGTACTAAATCGCGATGCTTCTTCAATGTAGTGTAAATTTGATGTGAAGTATTGTATTACATGGGGATGGCCGAATGCAATTTGCATATTCAGATATTTCAAAAATTTCCCAAAATCAAGAACCTACTATATCGGGCTGTCGATTTTGAGACCTAGATTTCCAGATCTAGAATCCAGGTCTCTAATGGACAATTTGCATATCTAGGTATTTCAGAATTTTCCTAAAATCAAGAATCTACTATATCGGATATAATAAACTTACAATATGTTTGAATATTCAATTCGTAGCGAAGGTCAGACGTTGCGGTACCAGTTGTCCACTGTGGTCATATACAAAGTGACTATAAACCAAGTGAGGACATGCATTGGTAACGTTAAAAGCGCTCGTGTGACGTCACACCAGCCATTTTGTGTCCAGAGTTCCATCGCTGTATGATCCTAACTAGGGGATTTAAACCTGCGATCGTTAAACAGCTGAATAAAAAAAACGATGCTCAATAATTCGGACCAAACTTTCGCAGCGGCAAAACGAATCAACATTCGTCTGAAAAATTAATTATCCGCAGATGTTTCTCGTTAAGGTTAAAGTCATCCAACTTCACTCGATAAATCAACACCCAATTAGACCAGAATATTAAACAAAAAGACACATTTTATTGTAAAATTCTTGATGTATGTATCGCTTCTTGCACATAAGCTATTTTAATAAACTGACAGAACTACAATGCAAATTATACTACAGAAACTTGCACTATTTTTTGCGGTACATGTCATGATATTAAAATATGCGTATCGCAAATTTTCAACAAGGTGTACATTGCCAAAATATTATTAAAAAAATATACTACATGCATGGAATGAAGGATAACGGCGTATATCAAGTTTACAAGAACATCTAATTATCAAATAATATATTATCTATTTGACTCTTGCCGCAGGTCTACTAGCATACCGTTTTTCAATAATTTTATTTGTCTACTCTTTTGCGTGAATATTTAGCCTTAAATTGAGAAAACGTTTCAAAATTTTAAAAGCGATATCGTGGCAAGATGGGAAATTATATTCCAACTTTATCTGTCAGAAAAGTAACAGGCGAACATATATATATATTAGGAAAGGCATTAATATTATCGCGAAATATAGTTTATACTTCGCGCAAAAATACGATTGCTTTTTTGGATGGGTGGCATAAATATTGGGTAAAACTATCAATTTTCAAATATTTATCGTGTGTGTAAGACCTAAAAAGAGTTAGAAACGATTGTGGGCATTCATCGGGATTGACACTTTCCATAGAAACAAACAAACAATTTGAACCCCGTGTCTTTATAGGGTTCCCCCGGAAACATCAAGGCTAATTTTTCACTGTTGGATATCGATAAAATTACAATTAAGTTTTATCAACGAAAACGGAGAAGACATGCTGGCGTCGCTAAATCACCTAGTAAATATTTTACATTTTCCGACGCAAAAGAATCGAAACATCCTGCCAATAAAAAGTTGCTAAGAGCTGCAACACCAGTCGCGGCGGCTGGTTTTTAAATTTTGTACCTTATAATGTACATGCTTCGATAAAATTCATTAGGCCGCACAATGTGCTAGCCATGAGATCGTTTACATTCTATAATTTTTAGAGCAACTGTTGCAACAGTTCGTTAAATTAGGAACATTTTTCCCGAAAAAATTCATACCATCAGTTTCTGGAATGATTAATTTAAAACGCAGGCTTTAAACTTTCGGCATGGTGTGAACAGGTATCATAATGCCAGTTCAAATAGTACCTGATTTAAACGTATGCATTAGGTTAATTAATGACGTTTCACACTTGCGAAGGAAAGCGATATGTGATTTTCATACAGAACGTTGCTACGTACTTGCGTAACGAAGTAATCAGGGAACTTTGTTGTTTAACTCAAGTTTGCGTAGTGGACATGTGCATGTCAAGAATTGGAGAACATTGAATGAAATAACTTATACAATTTTACTGGTGCACGATAAATTCTATCTAATGTCGAAAGCTATCTTCAACCTCTGCAAATGTGTCGATGTCATATTAGGTTAAAACAAGAACAAATCGAAGTTTTTGTTATTTAATTCAAAAGCTTTTCAAAAAAATTCCACGCTTTTCAGTTTTGCAGATTTTTGTATGATAATCGCAACATTTTATCTCCATCTCATAATTATAATTAGTCTACTAGATTGTCTTTCAAACAATATAAAACTTATCTGCATATAATATAAGGTTCGTGAGATATGAGGTTTCAAAGTTGCATAACTCACACGGGATGATAAGATATCGCAACTTTCACAAAAACGCACGATACCAGTATGATTCCACGAGGCAAATAGCAAAAGAAAAATGAAATTACTCGAATAAAATGCAAAACAGTAAAAAATCTTCAAACAAATTGACAAAGGAGACTTTTTGACGAAGCTAAAACAAACCGACGCTGCGCGTTCCCCCGATTCGCTGGCCACGAAATGGCGTCCGATATGCATCATTGAACTCGGTGTCTCCACTTGGTTTATAGTCACTTTGGTCATATATAGAGAGGGAGTGTGCTTCTCTCTCATTTCTGCGGGATCAATTGAAGGCTCTCTCGTTTCGACGATAGACTTCCAACTTTTCCGTGGCACATAATGCATTTCTTACGGTATTAAAAAATTGGGCACTCCGATGCCACTGCTACCATTGCAAAGAAAATTTATAACACTACTCTTGGGTGAGACAATAACATTCGCATACTGCAGAAGTTATTGCAGGATTGTCGTCAGTCAAGGCACACGATATTTGGCAAATTCATTTCTAAACCTTGGCTGCAGCGAAACTTGCATTTGTTACTAATATGCTCTATCAGGCTTGCCTGTTGCCAGACTCAAATACTGCATGTGTATATGGTATTTTGCGCGTGTACAGTGCTGTATTATTGCTGTTTTAAAACACACAACATACGCTGAAGGAAACTGGTTCAAAACAATTCTGGTAGGTATGTTATTAACTTCACTCAACATCAGACGCGATCGGTATGTTAGTCGTTGGACGCGATCGACTATTCGAGACGTGGCGATCGACTTGTTGGCCACCCCTGATGTACAGCATTACAGCAATTGGGCCAGATGACTGTGAAACAGATAAATCAAACCAAGACAAGAGCTGTTTTCTATGGAAAATAGCTTTACATGTTTTTATAGCTGTAAAATTTATTTTCAGCCAAAGGTCATATCACTTTACCCCTGCTTTTGTAAACTGTTGAAAATTGAGAATCTGATATTTTCGATTAAAAATAACTTTCCAATTTAGCAAGACCAAATATATGTTTAATATAACTTATTGAAAGCAATTTGCTTATAATATATATATATATTAAGGTGATTAGGCAAAACAAATAGCAGCTCGAAGCAAGACAAGTAGCACTCATATTAAAAATGCGAGTGATGGACTGACTGATAAAGCTCTGTTTTTGTAAAAAAAAACGTTGCAAATCCCTTTGAAATTGGTGATGGCAATTTTTCTACCAGCCGCTAGCTTCTGCTCCTTTGTCACGAGTGTCAGAAAATGCGTAGATAGCGGAAGAGTCACATTTGATTGCATTCACTCGGCCCATTTTACATGCTTCCTCCTGTAGAATACGATTGTTTGCGTATGATCAGAGTTATACGTAGCTATATTGGGATGAATATACCGCAAGACTAAGTTAATACAGGAATGTTAAATTTTGCCAGCGTAGAAGTCTAACTCGGAAGAAAGTTGTTAAAATTTTGAAATGAAAAAAAAAAAATATTAGTTATTTAAATACAAACCTTGCTTCTTTGTTTGAAGACTTTCTAAGTTACAGATGAAAAAGGATCTACCAAACTTTTACAATAGTAGAAAAAAAGTATCTTTGTAATTGCAAAAAAAAGACGAATACATGAGTTTTTCCTCTAGAATACTTCCTAGGACCTAGGACACGCTTTTTATCACATAGACATAAGGCTCAAAAGTGTCTAACTAGTTTCTCACACCTGATCAATGTATACCACAATCGATAGTAAATTGTGTTTATACTCTAAAGCAGGGGTCACCAACCCATTGCCCACGGGCAACAAGTCGCCCGTGAAGACCACATGAGTCGCCCGCAGGTCTGTTCCAAAATAAACTTAATAACGGCGCTGATAAGTAAGCTACATCAATTAATTTTTGCCATGTTATTCTTGTATAAATCACACTTATGTCCTATTTGGGAACTGGGAATAACTCTATGTTAATTATTATGGTAACGATCATTCTAACTTTTATTTGACCTCAGTAATGTGACGGATCATTTAATACTCTCCCAATTATGACATCACACAGATGTCACCTTCCACGAACCTGCGTCTTTCGTGTCCGTTGATTTGTGGAGCAGCAATGCCAATAATACAATTATTGATTTCAAAGAAAAATGAAAGAAAACCTACCATTTTTACGATGAATGGGAGGTGGATTTCCTTTTACCACCGTGAAAACAGCTCGCGTATGTCTCATTTGCGGGAAGTTTATAGCGACGACAAAGCGAAGAGACATTTCACATCTTGTCACTATTCATTGGTCAGCGCAGTACGGGCAGAAAAAGCTCGCCTTTTAATTCAAACAGCAATTCTATGTTACGAGATCAGTGTTTGGTACAAGCCATCTTTATGAATCAACATTTTTGGGCATGAACTATACAAGGAACTAAGCACGGAATACGCCATACTGATGAGGACCCGCTCCGAGTTGCATTGTCAAGTTACACGCTGGAGTACAACACACTGGTGGAGAGCATTAGACCAGATTTGTTCAATTTGGGTTTTCTCCTTGTTGAAAACAAGATATTCATAATTAGTTAAATGTGTTTGTAAATGTAACATTCGGCAGTCCAACTTTTAAATTCATTTCATCTTAGGGTTATGCAGGGTGTTTGTAAAAAAAGTAGGTATATTGTGGACCTGTGGTTTCCGAGGATATTATTTTAGTGATCACTTTAAAATCAATTTGAAAAACACTCAGTTTGAAAATGGAAGTGTCATTGCTAGTAATTTATTTGCTACGTTGTGATAATTGTTTGATTTCCTGAAGAATCCTAAAGTTTATCAGTGTTTTTACTTGACTAAATATCAATAATTATCAATAATTGAAGGTTAATCGTGCAAATTGACTCTTTTTAAAGTGTGCATTAAACTGGTAGCCCTCGGCTTAATCGTTACCCAGAATGTAGCCCTCGACTTCGAAAAGGTTGGTGACCCTGCTCTAAAGTCTAAACAGCGTCAGTAACCACGCTGTGCGTGATTTAATTCCGGTGGTATCAGGAAAAATGATATACACAAACTAATATTTTTGTAAATACTTCAGCACTAATACTACTAACTGCTTATATCCATAAACGATTGGATATCACAAAACCTGGCATATATATTCAAACAGCAAGGGTTCTTGAGAAAGTTTTTTTTTATTTTGTACCAGAATAAAAGCTGTTTTCGTTTATTTATACTTGGCAATTCCATTATCTAATAATTCAAATGATTTCAATAATAATTCATATATATATATTATATACTTAGAAACTTACAACGTTGTGTCCCATGTCTTCCAAGTTTTGAATAATTTCACCATCGAAACCAGCTTCGTAATAAAGAACATCCGGTACCAAAAAATCATGAAATCGTTTGTCTTTTATTGCATCACCAATATCATTTATACCAAAATACAAGGATCTGAAAAGTATAGGTGAACAAGTAGAAGTGTAAATGTTCAGCTATACGGAAACTTGCATCATTGTTAACTGAAAATATAAAATGTATCCATCGACTGGCGAAACAAGTCGGTTCACTGAATATCCGAGTTTTGGGCTCGAGGACCGGGACATTTAGATTGTCAAAATAAGTATAGTGACTAACAGTTTCGAGTCGTGTCTGTTTTTTCAAATAGACCATTTGCCAAAGGGGAATTTTTCCTTCCTTCGCGGCTATCGAAAAACATCAATAGTATATATAACAAAAAAAAAACTGCAATAATCAATCTAATATACCTACTTAAGCATAACATTGGCCACTGCTCCTGGAATTCGGAAACCTCCCGAACCCCCAATGATAAAAGCAGGATCGCCATTGCTGTCCAGAAATATAGCAGGCGTCATACAAGATAATGGACGTTTACCTCCCTCTATTTGGTTTGTCGCAGACAAATGAGAATCATGTTCATTGTCGCCATCTTGAGGAATGTAGAAAAGAAATTTATAGTACTGATTCAATGTTCCATACATCAGTAAACGTGATATTTATGCAAATACGACATACTAAGAAATGAAAATAACATGAATTCATTTAAAAATAATTAAATACATACTTGGATACGAAAAATCTGCCATTTCGTTGTTAAATACGATTCCTGTAGAAGGCGACATTATTCGAGATCCCCATATAAAATCTATCGTTGAAGTTAAAGCGACAGCGTTTTTGTCTGGGTCAATCACTGATATATGCACGGTGGATGACATATGAGAGTCCAAAATCTTTGCACCATAATATACAGGATCATGAAACGTTCTATCATCAAGAATTTTATTCCGAGCAGAACGCGAATAATCTCCTGATACAATTTGATTTTGAATATTCAATACAGTTTGATCATAATCGGGATCCCCCATGCTGTATTGGGCACCAAAAGCATGTCGGAAGGCTTCATCAGTACGATGACACTGCAATGCAGGGTTCCTTTTGTAATCATCCGGTTTCATGTTAAATAAATCCATAACAGAAAGGATTGAGCCCAACACTGGTCCACCTGAAGGCAACGGCGGCGCATGCATTGTATATCCAGCGTTAGCAAGTTTCATCGTGATTGTAGGTTTTTCAAGCACTGAATAATCCTGAAATGAAATTTTTTTCTACATCCATCAAAAGCGATTAAAGTAAATACTGCATAATACTACTGAATCTGCATGTGGTATTCATCCAAATCAGGCATCGTTGCGTAATACCTCGCACCACTGTCTTTCATAATTTATTAAAAAAAAATGAACAAGACTTACCATACTTGGATATTCAATTAAGTTTATACTAAACACGAGAATAGATTTTTTAATACAACAAATACTGACCTACAGAAAAATTTAGTATAACTCACTGTTAAATCTTGCTTTGTCAGAATTCCCCCTTGACATTGAATTTCATGAATCATATTATCAGCAATTTCACCATTGTAGAAAACATCTATGCCTTGTTTTTGTATCTTTTCTAGTGTATCAGCAAGTAGAGGATTTTTCACTGTATCTCCTTCTTGTTTAACCTAGAAATATATGATGAGTCATTTTTATTACTTTATCAATTATTGTTCAAATTTATGTCGCTAAACACAAAAGTAAGTTTATAAAAGTAATTTACTGATGTAAACACTATTTTACAGAAATTATGGGAATAAATTTTTATTTGTAAAAAATGGATTAAATGTGCCACCTTACTCTAACACTACTAGTGGAAATTTAAACGTTTACTGCAATCTATCTGATATGGAATAAATTTTCATTCCATGTATCCAAACCAATGCAATAGTTGAAACATAGTAACTAGACATAAAATACACCAAGGATTGTTTTTGTTATTTTGTAGTAAAACCGCATTTTTCTTTATGAGATGAAGTAGGTATCTTATGCAACGTTTTTATTTTAGAAATTTCCTCTGTGGTACGAGCCGTACCTCAGATTTGAAATTAGTTGTATATACTATTTTTGTAATGAAGGACAACATTTTAACATTCGCGGGCAGGAGTGTTAACAGTATAAGTTTGTTTTTCACAAGCGCACCAGCCACCCTCTTTAGTACCATCTGCTGTTTTATTGATGCTACTTACTCCAGTTTTATCTTCAGTGCAATAAACATCACTAAATGTTGAATTCGGATCCTTTTTTATAACATTGTCGTAAAGATTTTTCAACATTATAGCCATTTGCTTACTAACTTTAAACCCATTTCTAGCTTTATCAATTGCAGGTTGGAATAATTCTCCCCAAGATAAATTTCCTCCGTATTTCATAAATGCGTACCTGTTGTATAAATGAATTCCATCGCTTATCGTGATTAAATTATATAGGCCCTAATAAAATTTTCTTCAACATCTCTGTTCAATGCAATAACAACATGTTTTACAACATTCTTGATTTAATTAAACATATGAAAGAATTAACAAATGTTTCGTTAAAGTTTGCAAATAGTATAGATATATATACCACTGGAAAACTTGACATTCGTCCAAAAGTCAATCTCTGATTTTTATCGGATCTACCAAAAGCAATACTAAAATGCTACGTGTTAAAAATCATAAATTAAAAATCAGGGAAGGATTAACAAAAACGGGGAGGATTAACAAGAAAACTTTATTCAGCTAAATAACTTACTCCAGGCCTTTTAGTTCCCCTGGTACCGCAATAAACTTTGCACCTCTGATATAATCTCCCATTTCCAAAAACATTTCACGAGTTGCACCCGCGGGTGCCTTTTCTCTGGCTATGATGGACGTGGTTGATTTTGTTGACGAATTGTAGATAGTCATTATACATCCTCCACCTGAATGAATGTTGATAATCAACTGTTGGCAACTGCTAAATCAATTTTGAATTCCTTATTACCCGAATCTAACAGCACTCATGCACGTATTTAGTTCCCTTTGTATCAGTATTTACATCAGAATACCAGTGTACACAAAAAAAAATTCAACGCACTCCCTTATGTTTTCTCTTACAGTGAATAATGAATTGCTCTATTCCTCAACAGTGCTTTCCAACCAGTGGATCGCGATGCATTTCCGACACATTCCAAAATGGGTCGCGACGCACTTCCAAATGGTGTCTACATTTTACAATTAGATCGGAAAATCGTGGCATTATCAGTACGTGACAATAATCTCATGAAACAATTAACAGTTGGAATTATTCGTTGTGTCTCGTTAATAATATTAGTACGCCCCTACATGTTGGAAGGTGTAGGTAGGCTACTAGGTTGATTAGTAATTTGTTGAATCAGAGTAGACAATAGCAAAGAAGCCGGTTTATGTAGTTGTTAATCTTATGTCGAATGAGTTGCATATTAAATACTGGATAAACCAGAGGTAATATCCTACTTTATTTAAATTCCATAACTTTGTTTGATTCTTGTACGCTACAAGAAAACAAAAGGTAAGGGAGTAAAAAAAACACAACGGCTACGTTGTGTGTGAGCTTGTCTCCTATCAAGCCTCGACTTGATCTGATAATATTCAATATGCAAGCTCAAGTTTTGCATTAATATTAAATTGCATGTGGATTATTTCTTTTCTCGTGTAATAACATTTCATTGTGGGTCGCACAAAAAAATGAAAAAAAAGTGCGTCGCGAACTGAAAAAGGTTGGGAAGCACTAATCCAAAATATTCACTGAAATACTCTGGATGTAACCATACCTATTCCAGAATAATACGGTTCGACGACACCTTGGCACAAAATAACCGCTATCGCTGCATCAACTGCATTTCCGCCTGCTTTCAAAATATCGCGACCGACTTCTGAGCATTCAAGTTGACCTATATTAAAAACGAATTAAATGTTATACTAAGAAGTTGATATACGCATTATCGCGTGGGCATAGACAGCGGTTAAAAACAGGTGTGCATACACTTTTCCTCGATTCGGTTGCCAATGGGTGTTCCCACAACATTTGACCAGAAAAATCTTTTATTTTTTACTTTATCATTGAAAATATCGGATGCTTATTCTTAGAGTGGTTACGCAAGTTGGCATATAAACTGGTTGCGTGTTTCAAACTATCATTTTTATTCACTTGTCCCTTAAAAAACCTGGTAGAGGAGTTTTGCCTAGTCTATCACGGCCATTTCTAGACTAATTTTTGATTACTGCAATAAAACTAAAGACTCATAGAAAAACGAAATGATCATTGAGTTATTTAATCCTAGCCTAAGTCTTAGAAACACAATCAAAACTGACAAATAGAATTCAATACGTATACCACTAAAACGGGTAATGTTTACAATCATGCCTGAAAATCTGTCCAAATGATCAAAGGGTCTAATCGGCTTGTAAAATTCATATTGCTAGGTCACGTTTTTGCGTCTTTTTGATTAACCATTATTACGGAAGTAAAAAAGGAAGTAGATGCTGGGGTAAACATCCAGTCTTCTTCTTTCCCCTAAGGCGGGTTGAATGTTTGAATTATCTGCCTTCTGTATACACGCTGAGGAACAACGTGAGGATAAAATCGATTGTACGCTATGCTGTATTAGCACGACAATACTTATATGAGTAATTGGAGTGGAAAACCTTAAATATTTTACTGCCTATTCAAATGAATGAACAAAACAGCTGTATATACTATGTGGAAACATGAATGAGCGAACATGTTTACAATTGTAAATAGGTTCAAAATAAGTTGAATATAAGGATTAACTAATTTGAATTATGAATGCATTATTACATCTGTTACAATCAAGAACTTTATGAGTATCAAATTTAAACTAACATACCGGAAGCGACGGCAGCTTGATGGTATATGCCTGTTTGATTCATCTTCTTCGTTACGTGTTATAGCCTATATGTAATATTATGATTAGACGTTGTGCTGTTAAGGCAAATGGGAGCGGTCCAATCCTTGATCTCTATTGCACTCTCTTTCTGAGAATGCCTGATCTCCACTCCCTCCCAACAACGAATGCAAAGATATCAAAATTCACCAGCACACAATTGATTTTTTATTGCCAATTTGATCGCCACAATTCTCCAGTATCTGACGGATAAATACTGTTACTTTCTGCCTTGACACTCCCCTCTTATCTATTTTATACAAACCGTGACGTGCTTCCATCAAGCACGGCTGGATATCTAACCTTGATTGTACGGTCAAAACAACATGTTTTGTCCTCGGGCTGTGGCCTGCGACGCGAATGCCGCACCAAGTCGATTTGTCCTAGTTCAAAGTATCTGAGTTAAATCCGATCCCATCCAATGCGTGAGCCAATTTTTATAGATTTTGTTTGAGCTAATAGACAATAACTGAAGGTTCAACTTACTCGATAAAAGATTTAATGTCCTGAAACGTCGTTCTGGAATGTTTTCTCTGTATACACTACTGATTTCCTTCAGATTGGACGTAAAGTTATATCTTGAAAATTCACAGTTCATACCAACGTATCATTGTCTAGGATGCAAATACGTGCAATGCATTTCCTTTAAAGTATGCTTGATCAATGTTTCAACACTTCGTCAGCAGAAATGCACTCAGATAAGAAACAAGTAACCTATGCAGATATATACAATTATGTATTTGTGGGCTACAGACAATTCGAATACATAGACAACTACGATGTTTATGAATGTTTCTTTTGCTTTTGTCAGAATTTCAGACCATACTCGAATTTGTTCCACTTTCACTCTAGTTAAATTTTTCACGAGGATCAATGTGAATTTGTTTGTTAAATGATTATTATCCCTTTGTTGGCAAAAGAAATATTTTAAACTAAATTTGTGTGATCGACTGTTAGAATGATGAAGAGTAGGCTATTAGTTTATAAATATATTCCACTAAGCGTGGGATTTCATTGACTAAATTTTTGTAGTTAAGTGCAGTGAAACTTTAAATCTCAAACTCGAACGACGTAAGAAATTTGTCTTAATAAAAATTATCTATATTCGCTAATCGGTTGCTGTTTCCTCTACCATACAAGCTGTACACCACTTAAAACTAAATGGAAGTTATCCTTATAGTAAATATTTTCACATATTTCTTTTAATTTAGAAAAAAACTTGATTTGCCGCATGATTATATTGCAGCAACTTTGAAAGTCACCATTCATATACCAAAAAAACATTCTTGAAGTTTCCTAGCGCTGATAGTTCCAATTTGCCGAAATATTTTGTCCTCGAAGCATCAAGGAAACATATATGACCCCAGGACCAGATTATGCCTTTTAGAGGCCCTAGGCACCTTTGGTGCCCTATATTAAAAAAAAAAGTAACAATAATGAAGGATTGGATATAAGAAAGTTTCATTATTCATTACACTAATTCAGGGCCAAGTTACGATTATTTTTGCATTATTCATTATTGGGAAACATTACTGCTCCGCCAGCCTCGCTGATTTTTATATTTTCTTTCCATCGTCTACTTGTAATTGCCCTTTGCTGATAATATTTACTTATTTTCCCTTGACTGCTTGGGGTCATCGCAATTTTTTTTTACCATTTTCATTCCCACCTTAGTTGTGTGCTTGTTTCGCTGCTGATTTCACTTCACAACTTGCTTGATTTTGTTGTCTTTTATTGCGCAGATTGGGTTACTTGCTGCTTTAATACTTGAAACTGCTTGCAGCTTGGTTACAGGCTGATTTTTTTGTACTTATTTACTATTTTATTTATTTGGTTATTGGCTGTTTTTCTCATATCCATCCATGGGACCTCGATGCTTTTCATTCTCATTGCGGATTTAGGTTGGTACTTACTGTTTTTCGTATTTCCCCTGAATCAGTATACGTCGTTTTTCTCATTCCCCATTGGGCCTTGTTTATTTCCATTTTCACAACCAGTCTTTTCTGATTGCTTACTGCTGCTGCTTTGTCTCTTTATTTTTCTTGACTGGTCTCCTTGGCCCCGCCGCTGGCCTGGCTGGTTGCTATTTTCGCTCACTCCCCCATGTTTATTCTTTTTGACTGGTGTGCTTCTGACAACGCTACTCCCGCAACCACTTTTCTTGTCTGCTGGTCCTTCCCTATACAACTTGGTCTACCCTCATACCTGACCTGATGCTTGCCCATGTCTCTACGCTTCCCCTGCGCCCAGTGGCGTGCCTAGAGGGGGGCGAAAGGGGCAGCCTCCCGGGCAGCACGTTGTAGGGGGCAGCAAAACCAAGCTGTAGAGTAGGCGGTAATATACATTTTTTTCTCGATGTGTTTTTATTAAATTAAAAGCCCATGTTATGTGTTTAGTGATGTGTGACTGGCTGGAGAGTCCACTATGGATGCGTTCCCGGTCATTAGCCCTATCACAGGTATTTTTGTACTAATTTTTTGATTACTGCAATGAAAATATATGAGAAGACAGTATAATCATTGGGTTCCATTATCTTTGCACCACGTACATTTGCACCCAGGTACAATTGCATTTTCATACTTTTGTACCTACGGACATTTGAAACCGCAGATTTTGGCACCCACATACAGACTGCACCCATGAACATTTAAACCCATGAATATTTGGACCCATGGACATTTGCATCAACGTAGCCCACATTTGCACCCGTAAACATTTACACCCATTGATACCATCTTCTTTCAAGTAAAAGAGATTCTATTGCCATTTGTGCCGAAATAAAGACATCCTAATGTTATGCTTTCTAATCAAAACTACCCACAAACCCGAACGTAGCCTGCATGGGTGCAAATGTACATGGGTACAAAAGTCCACTGGTGCAAATGCCCGTTGGTGCCAATATCCGCGTGTGCAATCTATATACAGGTAGTAAAATCTATGGGTGCAAATATCGGTGGTTGCAAAGGTATGCAAGTGCAAATGTTCTGGGTTCAGGTAACGGGTGCAAATGTGGTGTCGCCCAATCATGACTTATTTGATTTTTTCTGAAATTTTCAAAACACAACCAAAAACTAATAAATAGCATGTGAAAAAAGGCAATGGTAAAACCATGCCAGAAAATCTGTTTGTGCGACTGCTTAAACATCTAAGTAGCAATCGGACATATAAATAAGTGGCTTGCTTTTTTGATAAATGAGTTTGATCTCATACATGTGAGTTTGTTGCTCAGTTTGAATATTTATTCAATAAAACAAACGTTTATATCTTACTTGACTTTTAATTGCTTTAATTTATCTGTTTATCCCCCGAATTATTTTTGAAGTTAGGTATAAGAGGCAGCATTATCAGAAACACGCCCCGGGCAGCAGAAAAGTTTGGCACGCTCCTGCCTGCGCCACTGCAACTGATGAGAACCGAGTGGATCAGAATCTTACTCAATTAACAACGTCACGCTTGGTAGCCCACGACGAAGCTAATTACCCCGAGAAAATTATATTAAACATACTGCGTTGAGTCGAAGAGGGGGTATTCATGCCTCAGTCGAAGGCGTTCATCCTAAATTATCTTGTTTAAAGGAGTGAATCTGCAAACCAAATTTCTGAGCGGAGGAATACTAAGAGTGGAAAACATCAATTTGATCTTTTTAATCTATTGTGCTAACTGACCGTCATATCTCTGGTTTACTGATCCTGACCTATTGAAACGATATCATACACACTGAAAATACCACAAAAAAAACATAAATTTGGCCCTACTGTTTATACATTTATAGAACATCGCAAGGAAAAATGTTGAAATTGGCGCGGCGTTCTACTCTTTTACATATTGAAACGATATCATAAACGCTGAAAATAAAACACGAATGTTGACATAGTTAAAATTTGTTCGCAAAACTATTTATTCCATACAATCCTAAGATTAACAATAGCTCAATTCTAGTATTTGGACAAATATCGCGTCTACATGCTTTTGCTGAGCATACGGTATAAGACTACTATTGATTTAAACATTTTGAATTTCCATAATATAGCAACGGATAAATCCATTGCCTTTATGGGCGTGATGTCTAAGCCGAGCGCAGTTTATAAACATTGATCAAGAAGTTTTAAAGGTATTGCGACACATCAGATTCAGCAGCATGTGAATAAAATTAGAAATACACTGTTTTAGGTTTGAACGATGAAATACCATTTTTATCATAGTCAAGCCAGCTGCAACCCTGTTCGCAGAATGTTTTATGTTCATTCTCCATATTTAAACTGGGTAAAGCCATGAATCACAAATAAGCTCGGGGTGTTGTAGTTTGTTAGACGATCTTATTTGAATCAATGAAATACGGAGAAGAGCAGCTGTTATAATCGATCAAAATGGATATGAGAAGTTAAATAAGAAAATGAAATGTAGAAAATTACAAATACACTTTGAATTGAAGAATTTATATTGGAATTTCAAATTGCATAACTTTTTTTTTTATTCATCAAATTTATTGCTGTTAATAAAAAGTATCATCTCATATAATAAGCGGTGAAACCGACCATATTCAACGAATGTCACTGTCCTATAAAAATGTTAAATCATTGGGAAAAGCATCTGAACTGCATTAAACAAAAAAAGTTCAAACATGGCGTTAAGCTTATTTCTATTGTCATTTCGGAATAATTACATCATGTTTACCCTGGTCGAACTATTACTTCATCTTGCTGATTACATTGATTTATTGACCTGTGATTAGTGGTGATTTACTTTTGTTGCAGAATGTTTACGTTTAAACGTTACCATTGCTCGTTAGGCCAGAAGCAAAATATTTGTTAATTGATAGATTACTGCCCTCAATTTCCTTTAATTTTTAATTGTTTTAGACTTTAGAAATATTTATTACCAACGGAAAAACTGGAAATCGTTAAGCGATTTATATATGAAAGATAGTATATATTTTGTTTTATCAGAAAGTCACGACTAAAAGTTTCATTTTTGGAAAAGCTTGTTCTGAAGTTTTGCGGCCGTGTTTTTGAGTTGTTCTATGAGACGATGACTCTATGAGTATGATATAAATTATGTGAAATGCTTCACATGTCAAATTTGCATAAGTATTGATAAAAAGGTTCCAGTTCCAAGCTATTGAACATAAGGTTCAGAAAGATGTTATAGGAAGAAGCCGACGTATTACTACGTATGCCACATAAAACAAGTCGATATTCAAGAATATTCTGTAAGTACTGTTATTGTAAAATCGTTGTAAATCTATTTGAAAATCATGTTGACAATTCGTCTACCAACCGCTAGATCCAGCCCCTCTGTCACGCAAGTCAGAAAATGCGTAGATAGTAGAGGAGTCGACTTTAATTGCATTCACACGACTAAGTTTAAGTGTTTCCTCCTGTAGAATACAATTGTATGATTAGTTTGGATTGAAACAGCAATCAACTATATTGGTATATCAATATTGCACACCTAAAACCAAACTAATCGAAAAACGTTTTAGCCATTTTATGTCACTTGTAAAAATTGTATTAAAATTTTAAAATTAAAAAGTGCGCCCTGGAATATATATATAACTTTTTTATCACAATGAATTGGCAATCCCATACCATATACAACGGTGTGGCACCCAGAACATTCGCACCTGTATACTTTTGCACCCACAGACACTTCACGCATACATTTTCACCCATAGATTTTATCATCTGCGTATAAATTGCAACCGCAGACATTTGCACTCATGGACATTTGCATCCACGAACATTTGCACCCATGGACGTTTGAGCCCATTTGCACTCAGGGACATTTGCACCCAAGAACATTTACAACCATGGACATTTGACCCGCGTACATTTGTACCGACAGACATTTGCATACACGTACATATGCACCTAGCGAGCGGGTGCAAATGTATATGGGCGCGAAAGTAATGAAACCACAAATTTCACTTAGCACACTTGTACATGCTTATCTTTGCAGCCACGGAAATTTGCCCCCGTGGACAATTACACTCATACATTTGCACTCTCCAAACTTTAGCATACCCATACAGATTGCACTCTTGAACAGTTGTGCCTATGGACATTTACACCCACGTACATTTCGGCCACAGACATTTGCACCCATGGACATATAGACCCACGTATATTTGCGAATGTACAAAAGTATGCAGGCAAAAATGTCCTAGGTGCTGCAGTTGTGCAAATGTGCGGTTACCTTTTGGTTCATACGTGACAATTTAATGGAAACACCAATATAATATTGTGTCCTCGGTTTTAAAAACTTACAACTTTGTGTCCCATCTTTTTCAAGTTTTGAATAATTCCGCTATTAAAACCAGGTTCATAATGAAGAGCATCCGGTATCAAAGAATCATAAAATCGTTTGTCTTTGATTGCATCGCCAAGATCATTTATACCGAAATACAAGGATCTAAAAAGTATCAAGTTGTGTGTAAGTGTAAATGTTCACCTATATGTTCACCTATATGAATCACCTCATCAAGCTTTATTGGGATATAAAATATATCAGCCGTGAAGTCAAGTATAAGGACTAAAATTTTCGAGTCGTAAGTAATTTAATATTATAATTGACTGAATTCCCAAAAAAGGTAACATCCTTATTAGGGAAAAAACGAGATAGAAAAAGCCAAACGTCAATTTAACGTCATTTTAGATTGGCAACGATTTTTTTTTTATGCGGCATTTGGAAGATATTCATCAACATTGGTAAAAACTCAGCCTTACATTATTCAATCGAATAAACCACCTACTTAAGCATAACCGTTGCCATTGCTGCTGGAATTCGCAAACCTCCCGAACTTCCAATAATAAAAGCAGGATCATCATTGCTATCCAAAAATATAGAAGGCGCCATACAAGATAATGGACGTTTACCTCCATCTATTTGGTTTGACGTGGACAAGTGATAATCATGCTTAATGTCGCCGTCTGGATAAATGTACAGAAAATAATTACAGCAGCAAATTCAATTCTCCATACATGTCAGTAAAAGTAATATTTAAACAAATATGACATGGCATGATATGTTATGAAAGTCATAAAAATTCATATGAAAATAATAAAATACATACTTGGGTATGAAAAATCTGTCATTTCGTTATTAAATACGATTCCTGTAGAAGGCGACATTACTTGACATCCCCATATATAACCGATCGTTGATGTCAAAGCTACTCCGTTTTTGTTTGGGTCAATCACAGATATATGTACGGTGGATGACATTCCGGAGTCCAAAACGATTGCGCCATAATATGCCGGATCATGAAATGTTTTGTCGTCAACAATTTTATTCCGAACAGAACGTGAAAAATTTCCTGACACGATTTCATTTTGTATATTCAGTACAGTTTGATCATAATCGGGATCACCCATGCTGTATCGGGTACCATATGCATGTCGAAAGGCCTCGACAGTACGATGGCACTGCAATGCGGGATTTCCTTTATAATCGTCTGGTGTAATGTCAAATGAATCCATAACAGAAAGGATTGAACCCAATACTGGTCCGGCTGAGGGCAGCGGAGGCACATGCATTGTATAACCAGCGTTAGCAAGATCCATCGTGATTGTAGGTGTTTCAAGCACTGAATAATCCTTAATAAAATTTCGTTAAATGTCAATATCGAAAGCGATGAAAGTAATTATACCTCAATTGATAGAAGATGAGTCTTGTATTAACGAAGTCTGGACCGCGGAACCGTCACACGATATGCCATTTTTCAATTTTGACGACGTCATCACACATAACTTCAAAGTGAAAAACGAATCCCATAGAGCCCACAGAAACTCTAGTAATAAACAAAAGCCTTCTAACCGACAACAACCACTACCACTGAAAATATCAAAACAATTGGTCCAATAGATAAAATTTCTTTACAACACCAAGAATAAGAATATATATAACAAATTCTAATAACAACAAGAATCTACAAAACGATGCGCAAATCCACCTAGTGTCGAATATAACCCCTGACACAAAGGGAACTTTATTTTAACTCACTATTAAATCTTGCTTCGTCATAATTCCACCTCGACATTGAATTTCATGAATGATATTATCAGCAATTTCGCCATTGTAAAAAACATCCACGCCTTGTTTTTGAATCTTTTCTAGTGTATCAGCAAGTAGAGGGTTTTTCACTATATCTCCTTCTTGTTTAACCTGGAAAGATGCGACGTTTCATCTTGAATACTTTATATAAATTTTTGTTCAAATTTCACAACGCCTACTCGCAAATGTAAGTTTAGGAAAGAAGTTTACGAAGGTAAACACTATGTCACAGAAATAAGAACCGCAGATTGGGAATCAAGATTATGAAGGTGATTTTTCTTTTTAAAAATTTGCGCGCAACCTAATTTGAACAATACAATAGTTATTAGTTTTATTTTAACAACCACTGATTCAAACATTTACATGATCAGTAGCTAAACATGTAGGTATCTCATTCGAGTTTCTTTTCTCAAAGCGAACCAGTAGCCACTATCTGTGCTTTGTGTTATTTATTTTAATAATTCTACTTACTCCCGTTTTATCCTCGTTGCAATAAACATCACAAAATGTTGAATTCGGATCCTTTTTTATAACGTTGTCGTAAACATCCCTCAACATTATAGCCATTTGCCCACTAACTTTGAACCCATTTCTAGCTTTATCAATTGCAGGTTGAAATAATTCTCTCCACGATAGATTTCCCCCGTATTTCTTAAATGCGTAACTGTAGTATATAATAAATTTTATTTCCATCGCTTACGGTGGTTAATGTAAATTAGGTAAATTTTTTACTTCACATATCTATCCTCTATGGTTATGCACTAACAAATGTTTTACAATATATTGAAGATTAAAACAACTTAAAAAATATTCTGAAATATTCTTGAAAGAATTACCGAATGTTTCGTTAAGGTTTGCAAATAATACATATTAACTGGAAATCTTGAACCTTCGTCCACCAGTTAGTTGATCTCGTTTGTTTATCGGGTCTATTAGGGGCAATAAAGGAATGACACGCGTTAAAAGATATAAATTATAAAAAAAAAATTGCAAACGGGGAGGATTAACAAGAAATCCATATTCTGCCTAATAACTCACTCTAAACCCTTGAGTTCACCAGGCACCGCAATAAATTTTGCACCTCTGTTATAATCTCCCATTCCCAGAAACATTTCACGAGTAGCACCCAAGGGTGCTTTTTCTCTAGCTATGATGGACGTGGTTGATTTTGTTGACGAATTGTAGATGGTCATTATACATCCTCCACCTAAAAGAATGTTGACAATCAACTTTTACAACTGGTAAATCAATTTTGAGCAGTCCTTGTTATTGGACACGTTGGACACGAGTGGACCGATAAATCATTTTTATTGAACTGTTGTTTTATTTAATAAAAAAATTTGGTATTTTTCTCATAAATTTTCTTTTTATCTACTGGATGAAAAGCCTTGAGATTTTCAGTGTTACAGATTGTGGTTCTCGCTAGAAGGCTATTACTTTTATCTATTTCACAGATTCATGTATGCTCTTTGTTTTGATACTACTTCGTTTTGGTCTTCTTTGTATTTTTATTTTCGAGAATTCATCTCTTGTTTTTCGTAGCATTAGCATTTATATTGGAACAGTAATGTATAGTCTTCACAGAGAATATCCTGTGAATGCAACTACTGTATACTATATCGTAGTATGAATATTTGCAGGAACGATAAATATTTGCACAAATACTTTAAATGTAATCATACCTATTCCAGAATAAAACGGTTCAACGACACCTTGGCACAAAATAACCGCTATTGCTGCATCAACTGCGTTTCCACCTGCTTTCAAAATGTCGCGACCGACTTCTGAGCATTCAATTTGACCTATATATATTAAAAGAAGAATCAAATGCTATAATGAGGATGGAAGGTATAGATTCGTAAGTAGCCTACGATACTAGCACGTGGGCGCAAAGGATAGTTAAAAGCAGGCGTACATAATTTAATGGAAATAAATTCAGTGAGTTTGTATAGTTCCGCACCGCTGAAGTTAGTCAATAAGGAACACTGTCGATATTAACTCGATATTCGGCACAGTGCTGGTTGTATCATTTGATGGCTTACCGTACATTTGAACCCATACATTTGCACCCGTATATCAGTTCAATCTATATGAGGGTGCTAAAATCCATGGGTCAGGGTTAGTATGGGTTCAAATATCTATAAAAAAAAAATTTCCATAGGTGCAACAGTATGCAGGTGCAGTTGTCGTGGGTTCAAATGTAAAGGAACCCATTTTATTATTAGGTACCCAGTAAAATACATCGAACAACTGTTTCTAATTGACATTGTTGCGTTATAATGTACCTACTGGCGCAATCTGGTGTGGGTTTGATGGGTGGGAATTTGAATCGCGTATTTGTTTGCATAACTAGAGTTTGTAATCATTACTAGATGTAACATTGGAATGAGAAATCGGATGTCCTGAATGCAAGATGATGGAACCTGTTGAGATACCTAAAGTTTGCTGTCAAAGAAGAAAACCCTTTTTTTTTTAGCTAAAATTGCGTGGGTCATATATATGTGAACTGAGATTTTTCAACACTCAACAATATACCGTAAAGTATAAGAACGAGAGCGGCTTTGTTGCATTGAAAAGGTAACGAGGGTTTGTCTTACTGAATTACGTCCTAACATTAAGAATGTTCTCACAAACATCATGCTTGTGTTACTCACTGAGAGATTTGTTGTAGGCCTACACTACAAAGGTACAAATATTTAGTTAGTTTGTTACATATGCTGGGTTATTTACACTTACACTGTTACACACTTGAACTGGACACAAGTATGGACCTGATTCAATGCATTACATGGGAAAATACTGGGATTCATATTGAAGCTATGACTAAGGACCGCTATCTACTTATCTGTGATCCAGGGTTTGGGAGTGTGATATTCTCAAGAGAAGCTCATGATAATCATAAAAAAACAAAAGTGATCTGGGCTGAAAAATCAGACAAGTTTTTCAGTCTAGATTTTCAAGCGTTCGATAAGAGTTGTTAATTTGGAATATCAGTTTAAAGAAGCCGAGATGCATATTGCATCTTGGGTCGGCAACAGGTGTAAGAAATAAGTTAATTGTATGACTGACCCTCACTGACAAATGCTCAAGATTACAAATTTTGGAATGAAGACTTTCTAAATTCAAACCAAATTTGTTACACAAAAAGCAACGTCCGAAACTAGATTTCGATGTATGTTGTTTACTTTTTAGCTTTGTTCGTTTACTAAGAAAAACAGAAGCTAACCACTTAGTTCAGGGCTGTGAAGCCTCTAATACAGGAGCGCCAAGTACAAATAACTGGGTAAAACCACGGGCCGCATTTTCATTCAACATAGACTTTGTAGTGGTCCCACGCGTAAAAATTTTGGTTGAGTCTATGACATGCATTGATTGATTTGCACAATCTAGCTGTTAGGCCATTGTAACTTTATAAGCATAAATAATAAATTGTAACCAGGTACATCTTTAACAAGCGAAGAGATAAAAAGCACTGGCACGTACCTGATTAGACTAAATTAAAAACTCGTTTCGCGGGCCGCCGACCATTGACAATTGGCACTTCACCGCGGGTCGCACAATTGTTTCCTTGTTGCCGCATGTTGTACAACCCTGACTCAGATGTTATTATTGGAAGTCGGATTTGTAATTCTTTTTGTACTCCTACCCACTTTCGCTCACCAAAATTATTTACAACTATACAAGTAGGCCTAAGCTTCGTCTGTGAACTTTATTTTCTCGTTTTCATGTATGCTGTTTATGAACTTTTGGTTTCAGTAAGATTGTCGTGGTGTGTTTTTCCACTTGTGTGCGTGAATGGGAACAAACGTTAGTTACAACGTTTTCCATAAAGCCTTCTCCAAGTTTTGCCAGTTTTCCCTATCTTTCAGTCGTCATTGTCGGTGTTCTTTATTTTTTTTTTATTTGTGTTCTGTGTTGCAGGCGAATAATCGAGATAAATATACTTATACAATCGTATTGTATGAGTAGAAACGTAAGCGCAACATTAGTATGTTAACGTAAAAAAAATTTTGTATTCAAATGTCAAAGGTGAGCCAAATAATTTGTTTTCCCCAAGAGAAAAAGAGTTGGTTCACAAACACAATTAAGATACCTAAATTGTTTTACTGGTTAAACAGATAGATGGGCAAAAAAACGACGAGTAAGCGAAAGTCTTCACATTTGTAAGGAATTTAAAAAATTCGAATAATGAACCAGTTTTTTACAATTTTGACAAACAGAAATTAAGTGTAGTGAGGTGTAAAATCTTAACTAACATACCGGAAGCGACGGCAGCTTGATGATATATTCCTGTTTGATTCATCTTCGAGGTCAGATACCAGGTCAAAATATTCGAAACGCTGCAAAATTTCGGACCAAAGGGTCACATGTGTTTGTAAATCGTAGTCGCACCTTGTATGCAATGCTCCGTCCTTTTAGTTACGGTAAGTTTAACTAATCTTTCATCTGCGTTAATGCCACTGCGATAAAGAACAACTATGCGTCATATATATATTTGTGGATAACGTAACAAAATGAACTAAACCCTGCTTTAACCAAAACTCTTTTTAAAAACAGAAAAATTATTTCCTCTTGTGGAAATATTTATTTTGTTCCATATTTTCGAAAAATATAATAAAAAAAATGCACCAGTCAGTGGCGGTAAATATATGAACTCAAAAAAAACATAGTCAAAACATGCCACATTGAAAAAAATAAGTAGTTTTTGGGTAAACTTTACTATCTCGACTGAAAAATCAGAAATTATTGGCGAGCAAAATTTTGGTAAATTACATTATTTTTGTGTATGATTCTATTTGTATATTTGAAATGTTTTGTATATTAAATTCTGTTTTTTGTTAAAACCATTCACAAAGCAATGTTCTTACTATTTCATTATTGCCCATTTATAACAATATTTTTCATGCAGTCACTATCACAATCTAAAAACTAAACAAACTATATCAGCAATAAAAAAAAGTAAGAGTATACAACTTCAAGACCCCAAAGTTGAATTGAATTCATAAACTGCTAGAAAATCACTAGGACAGAAAGCCAACAAAACTTGTTAGTTGTTATTACGAGTATAGACAATCACAAAAGATGACTGTTTTCTTTTCCCTTCATGCTTCCTTAGGTGACAAAATCCATCAAACTTGATGCCGTTGAGGGGTTTATTTGATGCACCTTTTTGCAGAACCCAATAATGCTCAACATTGCCCATTCCTTTGTATTCACCAATGACGCATGATACTATAATAATATGATCCTCTCTTGGCTTGTCATACCTTCGAACAACCCCTCCATGCCATAGATACAAATCACAGGACAATAGGTAGCCACTTGAGGAGCCTATCCAATAGCTTGATACCCCATTTTCGATTAGTCACAAAAATCTTGAAATACTCAAGGAGTACGACTAACAGTTGGCTCAGGTTCCAGTGTGAAATTGACAAACTTCACTTTGGAGTTTGAGTTCAGAAGTTGAATAGGCCTATTGCTTTAGCAATTGGAAGAGTTTTGACATCTGAATTTCTATTATTTTCCTTGTGTAACTGTTGGACAACTGAAAGAAATTTAAAATGTTATACTGTCTGTGTCTTAAATATGACATACCATTAATAAAATTTAATTCCTCTGTTATATCAACTACTATCCATAAATAATTGATATTGCAACTTCAGATTGAATAATATACTCAAAAATTTTATTATTATTAACAATTTATTGGTGTTCATTGCAGTTTATTACTGCAAGGTGGTCCAAGGTTGTTGTTGTTGGCATTTACAGCCACAATATTATTTTTGTATTGTTCGCAGGCCACATCAGTGCAATATGCTCATTGCTCACAAGATTCAAAACTATCGTTTTAGAATATATTTTTTTGGCACCGACACAACCTGCAGACATCAGGCATTGTGGATTACTCTCTTACCAAGTTAAAAATCTGTTTTAATCGGTCATTTTTTTCAAACTCTGCCAACACTACACATCAGATATACTCACAGCAGATATATTCATTACTCTGTTACTAAACTTCGCAAATGTGAGCTAGGGCTGACAGGAGGGGTAGTAAGTAAGACAATGCGACAGGGGGTACCGTATATCAGTATATTGCTACCGTAGGTCATAACTACTATCGTACGATATCAGTAGGGTGCCGTACCAGTTAGTACAGCAGTAGGTAACTGTTATAGTCAAACTGTAATAACAGATTCCCCATTCGATTTTAGTTGTCTACTGGTCTATGAAGGCTATTGCAGTATTGAAATATTGTAAGCGAATATTCCCTACCGAAAAGAAGTTCAATTTGTGGAACCTTAAGGTCATTTAAGGCTGTCAGATTAAATGAATTACGATAAGATAGTTAACAATATAGTCCTGCCCAGCACACCAAGATTGCCAGATTCCAGTGATCAAAAAAAGCCAAATCAAGACCAGAATATGCCAATAAGTACAAAAGTTCCATGATTTGATGCCCATGGCACAATAGCGGGTTTGCAATATGCTGATGTAGAGCCATCAGTTGATTAACTGAGCCACACAAATGTCTTTTCCCATTGAAAGTTGTATTTTCGGTTGCTGTCATGGCGATTTACACTTCAGCGGGATGTAGAATTTTAAGGTAAAAGGGATTAATTGAACGCAGCACCAGAATCTGCATTCGACATAGCCTAATACAGTTAAGCTGACACCCATATCACATATGGAAAAGTTGAAAAAAAAAAACAATAAAAAAATAATATCAATCAGACAGCATTATTCAATAACAGGGCAGCCCTTCAGTATGCAGGTATGTGATATACCTTAAAACATTCTCCCTAAACATTTCGAAACTATCGTTTTTATTAAAAAAATTTTCTAACCACATAACCAGTGCCGCTTACAGGTGGACTACTGATAGCTAATTTTAGTGTAGTTAATCACATCGTTCGTGATTAAATTTTGATTACTGCAACTAAACTAAAGCTCCTGGGAAGGCATACCGGTACCGACAATTAAGTTATACAACTATTTTTCGGGAAACAGACCCAAAAACTGACAAATTACAGGCAAAACTAGGCAATGTTTACAACCCTGCTTGAACATCTACCGTATCTGAGCTGAGCGGCTGCAATTATTGGACACGAAGTGGATATAACGATCGTTTCAAAATTTTGTTGTTATTGAACACGTTTAGTGGCCATAACGATCGTTTCAAAATTTTGTTGTTATTGTTATTGTTATTTGTCTCGGTCTCCATTTTCAAAAAATCGCTTTTCTCTTCGAATACAGGACCAATTGCTTTGATATTTTCAGGGGTTAAAGATAAAAAAATTTTCCAGAAGGCTATTACTTTTTTTTCGCTATGACGTCATCAAAATTATTGCCACTGGGTGGCGTGTTCATATATTTCAGGTATATATGGGCTTTGATATATTTGAGCATAGCTCTCTTATTGTAATTGTTATTGGACACATTTAGTGGCCATAACGATCGTTTCAAAATTTTGTTGTTATTGGACACGTAGTGGACATAACGATCGTTTCAATATTATGTTGTTGTTCTTGTTCTTTGACACGTTTTTGAAAAGTCGCTTTTCTCTCCGAATACTGGACCAATTGCTTTGAAATTTTCAGTGGTTAAAGATAAAAAATTTTCCCAGAAGGTTATTACTTTTTTTTTCGCCATGACGTCATCAAAATTATGTGACTCTACGTGTCCAAATATTTGAGCATAGCTTTCTTGTTGTTATTGGACACGTAGTGGACATAACGATCGTTTCAATATTATGTTGTTGTTGTTGTTCTTGTTCTTTTACACGTTTTTAAAAAGTCGCTTTTCTCTTTGATTACTGGACTATTTGCTTTGAAATTTTCAGTGGTTGAAGATGAAATTTTTCTCCAGAAGGCTATTACTTTTATTTATTTCAAATAATTCTGTTAGCTCTGTAAGATTTGTTTTTGTTTGCTATGACGTCACTAAACGTTCTGCGGATATCGGACGCCATTTTGTGTCCAACGGACCATCTTGCAATTTCAATTCACGCTGTCACAAGACAGGACCTTCTAAAGATAGAAAAGTTCTGGTACCGTAACACAGCGCGGTGACACTGAACTAACTCGTAGCTGTCAAAAGCTTGAAAATCCATACAAATATGAGAAATAAAAAGATGAAACTTGGCAGGTGGGTAGAGTTGTGTTTCTTTTAACCATATTTGAAGGTTTCGCGTTTCTACATTTGAAGGAGGGGGAATAGGGGGTGTGCATTTCCGATACGTCGGTAATATCTTTGTCAACCAATTTGCGACCACCATGTTTTCGTCTGTTTGATTGCTGTGATGTGGTGCTTTGTTTATCATTTAACGAGTTTTGTTCGAAATAACCGTGTTCCTGAAATATATGACGGTCAGAAATGCAATTAGAAGCCCAATGTTTTCACGCTGTCACAAGACAGGAACTTCTAAAGATGGAGTAGTTCTGGTACCGTAACACAGCGCGGTGACACTGAACTAACTCGTAGCTGTCAAAAGCTTGAAAATCCATACAAATATAAGAGATAAAAAGATGAAACTTGGCAGGTGGGTAGAGTTGTGTTAACCATCTTTGATAGTTACTTCTCTCCCCCGGGATAAATATGTAAATCCTATCCTAATACGTCGATAATATCTTTGTCAACCAATTTGCGACCACCGTGTTTTGTCTGTTTGATTGCTGTATGGCTGCGTATGCGATAGTCTCGACGCAGCAGACACGATGATCAAGGCTTGATCACACTGGTCGTTCGGTCGCAAATACGTCTTTCAAGTGCCGTACTTTGGGGATTTGTATAGCTTTAACCCCTTGTCGTAGAAAGTTAATACGAGGTTTAGCGTGTAGAATAAATGCCGCCAATGCACCCACGGTGAAAAAGTTAACGGGTTAGATATATTGGTTTTTGTTTTATAGCGGTTTGAATGAAATTGTCCGCAGACTGGCTACACCACCCTAGGCCTGGTGAGTTGTCCGTGTAGTCGAATTGTCCATCAGCCCTAAACGGCTATGACAGTAGTCACTGTACCTAAAATTGTACCCCGATTCGGCTGGTGTTAAGTTGACGCATGTTATTTAGTAACGTTTTTATGTGAAATGTTTGACTGTGGCTCGGTACCTGATCCGATAATACGGTACATAATTGACTCATATCACGAGATATTTCAACTGATGTTTCAATTGTCACAGGACCTAAAATATCTATGACAGTCCCTGTACCGTCACGGTACCCCGATACAAGTACTGGTAAGTCACCGCCGGTATGTTAGTCGTTGGTATATGATATGATACCGCATATGATTTTTGGGAATTGTTCTGCGTGTCCATATATTTGAGCATTGCTCTCTTGTTGTTATTTGTCTCCGTCTCCATTTTTAAAAAATTGCTTTTCTCTTCGAATACTGGACCAATTGCTTTGATATTTTCAGTGGTTAAAGATAAAATTTTCCTCCAGAAGGCTATTACTTTTCTTTCGCTATGACGTCATCAAAATTATTGCCACTGGGTGGCGCTACGTGTCCATATATTTGAGCATAGCTCTCTTGTTTATGATTGGTTGTGGTTAATTTAAGGTAATAAATCGATGTTCGGAGAAACTACACCATGAATATTGTATTTCATATGATTTTCATAATAAACACTAGAAGAGACTCAAAAAGGCCAAGCGAAAATTCTAACGCCGAACTTGTTTGGAAAAATGGCAAATTCGGCGTTAAAAAACTCAATATGGCATTGGTCATATTATATATACGCTTTGGCATTGGTAACCCTGCAGCACACTATGGATCTTTCTCCGACCTTTGACTCCAAGAGAATCTCCCTATGGATCTTTCCCTGACCTTTGACCCCCGGAAAATTCTTTCTATCCTTTACCATTGCAAAATTTTCGGGTCTATTTTAAGAGTGCTTTTGCAAGTTGGCGCCTGTAAAATTGGGTATGTGTTTCAAACCATCATTACGAATCATCGCATACAACAATCTGTTTTTTAAAAGTACCGGTAAAGAATTTTAGCCTGGTCTATAGGATTAGGATTATACATATTTATCCCGGGGGAGAGGAAAGCCGATAAGACGGCTTATCCATATGGCGAACCACGGCCTCTCGCCCGGTTACCATTCCAAGTCGGGTATGGGATTAGATTTACTGTATTGTTTGTTTTCGGAAGCATGGACTTGGTGGTAGAGGAAGCCGTAACCGACCAGCGTGAACCACCCAACGACGGCGAGGAGTCCAGCAATCCTCTCGCACATAACCATCCCTGCATGGGATTCGAACCTGCGAACCCACGCAGAGTAGTTAGAGGTGCGGTGGCGAGCGTATTCTTAACGCTTAGCCCGTTGAGCCACACCGCCGCGCCATCACAGCTATTTCTACACTATTATTTTATTACTGCAATTAAACTAAAACTCCTAGGAAGATAGAGTGATCATTGAATTATCTGATTTATATATAAGTTTCCGAACACACAACTGAAAACTAATAGAGTTCAAAAACGCGAAAACCAGGTAATGTTTACGACCACGCTTGAAAATCTGTCTGAGTGAGAAAAGTGCCTGAGCGGTTGCGAAAAGGGAGCATTGTTACGTCACTTTTTGCATCTTACTGATTGGCCAATGTTACAAAGTAAACAAGGAAGTCGATGCTCGGGGAAAGGTCCATTCTTTAATACTTAAAAAATTACGCTTATGTAAAGTTGGCGCCTACAAACCAGTTTATATGTTCAAAACTATTTTTTATAAACATTCAACCACATACCGCTTACAAGTACCGATAGCTAATTTTGTAAATTGTAGCCTAGTCTGGCAGCTTATCAGTAACTAATTTTGTAATATTGTGACTAAACTAAAGCTCCTCAAAAAATGAAGTGAATTTCGAGTTGTACGATTCACAACTAATCTTTGGATACACAACTGAAAACTGACAAATAACACGCAAAACCACGAAAACATGGCAATGTTTACACCAGTGCTCGGCGACCTTTATTGAGAGAGAGGGATATTTTATTGAAGTTGTCAAACAAAGAAAACACATATAGATATACAAATAAATAATAAACAAACACATGCTTTCAGTATATGACTGGGTGGCAACGATGCGACATCAGGAACACCTATGTGTTTCAGATATTTATTTCCACCGTGCAAGAATAAATGTAAAGCAATAAACGCACATAAAAATAAAAAAAACTAACAAATATTGGAACAAACTGATTCATACTTAAACAAATCAAAATTTGGCATACACAAGTTGTCACAACACAGTTCTGCAGATCATGCAATCATCCGTTGAATAAGATTGAACATAAGCTCGAAAAGCATCGAAATATGGATCAAGGGTTAATAAAATAGAGTCATTTGGTTGACCGATGGCTTTGTATATGAGAGATCATATCTTAAATTTCACATCACATTTTCAAAATTACATTTTTATTGCCCAGAAAAAATAACGACAGTTACGTTGCCTTTAGCTTTACTAAAGTAAATTAAGATGGCCCAGCATGTGACCAATACTTGCTTTGCTCGTATTTTTTGAATGTTAAAAGAGGGGGGAACAGCCACCGGAAGGGGGACACGAGTCGTAAAAGGTTGGGAACCACTGCGCAACAGACTAGTAGGCCGATATTTACAAGGGATACGTCCGATCGAAGCTGTTTTTGACAGCGGGAACAATGGTAGCAAATATTTAGCAGTTTCGAAAAGTGGATTCAGGCAGACATTTGTTAAATAGTTTACCGGAGACAGTGCAGGAGAACGTTTTTTGAAACTATGTCAGACATACTGTCTGGGCCGGAAGCGGTTGAAGCATTGATGACACATATTGTTGCTTCGTATTACAATTGTTACTGGGATTCATACGCGGAACAGTTTGAAAACACAAATTTATTTTTTTTAAATATATCAGTAAATATCACGCGTTCAGGGAAGAAACAATATGACTACAGTTAAGTCATCAGATTCCTACAATATTTGCTGTAATTGTGTGTTCAGGTCCCGGTTGTATTCGCACTTTGCGTTTAATTTTTCGCTCATTTGCAAGAGCCTTTATCGGCTTATAAGCAAGAAGACAGAATTGTGGACATTGTTACGCCCGGGAAGTGTATCATATCTGTTTTGTATGATAGGCTTGGGATTCTACGAGTTACGACTACGACTACAGTAATGCCGGTCATGATCAACAATTATCACTGTCCTTTGAGTATGTATTTTTAGTGGGAGAAAACATCTGCATTAAAAATGTTCAATTTAGACTTCGAGCCTATTTTTATTGTCGTTTCAATATAATTACATCCATTATAATTTGTATATCACATCATCCTGTCTTATGTATTACTAATTATTATCTTCCAGCTAATCTAGTGATATTGCCACATGCGTTTTTGTCTTGATTGCTCAATGTCATCTTGCTGATTACATTGATTCATCGCAAAACCTACAGAAATTTAGTGGTGATTCGTTTCTCTTGCCGGATGTTTATATTTGAACGTCACCACAGCTCGTAGATCTGAAATTATTTGTTAATAGTTAGATTGCGGCTGTTAATTTCTGTTTTCCTAAAATCGTCGACAGTTTAGTTAAGGATCTGATGTAATTTTTCTCGTGGAAAAATATATTCTCGTTCAGCGATTTACCGACAAACGGTAGTGTATATTTTGTTTTATTACAAATGCATGGATAAATTTTCATACTGGGTAAAACTTGTTCTGAAGTTTTGCAGCCGTATTTTCTTTCATTAGTTTTATAGAAATGATTTAAATCACGTGAAATGCTTTGCATAATTGATTGGAGGATAAACACAAATATTGATAACAGTTTTCAGTTGTAAGCTATGTTCAGAAAGATATAATAAAGAGAAGCGGACTTATTGTCACGCATGACACGTATAAACAATTTGATAATTGAGAATTTACTGTAACGAGAGTCTACGGCAAAAAATGTCATGAGTGAAGCTGAAAGCTATTTTCGATTTCCACAGATAGTTGTTGTGAAAGTATATTCATTCAATTATCAAAACTGGATAGAGTTATGTAGATAACCTCTTTGACTATGTGGAGGTATTGTATAGTATTCTTAACTTTACATTCTTGCTTCGACACGCTCTTTTTTGAAAAAAAAAACACAAGCAAACTTGTTTGCAGGATAAATATCACGCGTTCAGAGAAGGTAATAATAAAAAGTTGAGTCTGCACAGCAGAATATAGTTTAATAATAACAAAAATCTCATTTGGTGTTCCGCCATAATTTTAGACTATAAAACGTGTTCCGCGGTGCAAAAAAAGGTTGAAAATCACTGCTATAACGGATGGCCTATCATCTAAGTACTTGCATTTTAGGTATTCTTTCATCCAACATAAACTTGTAACTGGACGAGAGACACTGGCTTGTAATATAATTACTCTCGTAGCTTCTTTCTTAACAGAAATAAACATAACCATGTTCGTTAAATTCTGCCATTATTGCTTGCTTTGTGTAAATGACACATTGCTGGCATTGTGTTGTGTTTATTTCACTGATATCAACCCCGAGTGAATTGTCCAAATGCGTGAGTTTTTTATTGTGGTCAAAAGACATATTTCGATGTTTATCGGATAACCTACAGATGAACTCGAAATAGATACCAAACAGGTATAGTCATTTCAATAATTTGCGATAGCGTCTGCGCTTGTACTGGCTATATATGACGTTTCGTTGTAGATTTTAAAAAAATCTCAAAAACGTTATTTTAGTTCACCTTAAAAATATGTCATTAGTTGATAGAAAATCTATCGATATAAAAACTTTGATAATAGCTTATATTGCCTAATGCCCCATATTATTCTACATATATACGATAAGTGGAACTGTATTTGGATAAGATCGTTTTATTATAAACTTTAAATTTTTATATGTCTATTAGCTTTATCTAATATTCATTTCAACAGCAAAAAATCGTAAAAATTCAAATTTAGAGGTAGATTAGACATAAAAATTGTATATTTGTTCATGATACTATGTCATCATTTTAAGTTTCTGACTAGATTTTCCCCTCCCGTCGAGATTCGCACTTAAAGTGTTCAAATCTTTTATTGTTCGTTTTTCGACATTTTTGTCGAGATTTTTAATGGTTCACATACCCCTTCAGTTACTTTTTTATTTGCTTTGTTATTCTAAATATCTTTTTTTATGAATGTTTATATGTTGTAGTGTGATTACTGGAGCTGGTATACGATCATGACAATTTCTACTTTTTTGTAGTCAATAATAAATATAAGGCTTCAAATCGTAGAAAAATGAAGAAGAACTGTGGTGTTCCGACTACAATATTGGTTGCTATCATGGCACCTCTCCTGGTGAGTAATTATATTTGTTTATCAAAATATTATGTGCTAATACCTTATAAGTGACGGGAGAAATGACACAGACCGTCAAACTTTTGGTGTCTTGTAGATGGTAACTATATTATCGATGTACAAAGAAAATTATTGGTCAAACATACATAATTAAACATAAGTTCAATAAACCCCAGAGGACCCCAGTAAACTGGTCTCATTTTTCTACACAAAATGAATTGTTTGCAAACGTTTTAAAATTACAACTCCTTGTTAAAAATTTAACTTTTGAACTTTCGGAATCAATCAACATTTGCCGACATTTTCTCAAATGTTCTGTCACGCTTTGTATCTATGATTATTCAACAATCGATTATTTCTTTTCTTAAGTTGTTGTTCATACACGCTAGACGTAACGTATGTGTATTACATATACGTTCGCATCGGTTTACGGTAACAAGTATTTCATGGGTTTATTTAACATAACATACGTTGTATATTGATTTGTGATCTTTAGGTTTTTAGGAAGTTCCTCGTTAAATCAAAACACGTTTGGATACTAGGTAATGATCGATATTCGGAAAAATTTGAGCTAAATAGGTCAGATAGGAGTGGCAGATATAATATTTCATCTTTTAAAGATTTGAAACGAATAATCGTTTCTTATGGAGATTTTATTTTGGCCCTGTGAATGTAGAAAAGACGTTTGAAAAATGCATTGATTGCGAGTGGAAAAAGATTTATTCAAATATGTTTATCTTAAATGGGGTTGTTGTTGATGTTGTGAAAAACATTTTTTCTCTCTATTTCAGTATTACGGATTTGAGATATCGCTAGAAAGTTATTATTTTAATTAAAGTGCCAGGCGGACTCAATTCCCCCCATTTTCGGGGGGGGGGGGGGGGGGGGGCGCTAATAAATATCTCTTGTTTAAATGTTCTATTTTCAGTTCGACTTGTGCCAGAATTTCGGAAATTCTCATGCGTTGACAGAGGAGATGGATCAAACAAAAATATACCATCACGCAGCTGTAGCCGCTGGTATTTATATTTAGCATTTAATAACTGTTAATGAATATTGGTAATTTTATATTGCTGTTTTTATATTCTGAATTAAACATACTTAATCACAAATATAATATATGCATAATTTATCAGGTCAACTGGAATGCTCTGAAGTAGGACGTGATATTTTGAAAGCAGGAGGAAATGCAGTAGATGCAGCAATTGCAGTTATTTTGTGCCAAGGTGTCGTCGAACCATATTTTTCTGGAATAGGTATGTATTATTATTGGGATATTTTTGAGTGATCATTGTAATTAATAATGGTCTAGTAACCACATGTTTGGTTACAAATATAGTAGGCTAACAGACCCATTTACCAATTGGGCGCCCCGATTTGACGTCGCGTCATGAGCATAGCTATTTGGGCGCCGGGTCGCAGACCCATCCAGCTATTTTGGAAAATATTTTTGAGAACTGATTTTGTCTATTGAGTCCATTTTTATTTGGCGCCCAAAAGGCCGTCGACAAGCTGGCACAAAATCAGCAGGAGTCTAGAAGGCAGTGCCCAAACGGATGATTTTAAACGTATCATGTCCTAGATCAGTGGTTCCCAAACTTTTTGTACCATCGCCCCCCTACAGTAGTTTATGCAACTTCATCGCCCCCCGGCACTGCAAAAAAATTGGAAGTCTGAAACGAATATATTACATACCAAATAAGGAGATAAATCATAGTTTATACATAGTGTTTTTAATGAGATGGATGAGCTTGGTGTTCTTCAGCGAGTTTTTTTTTATCTTATCTAAAATTACCCCGTTTACTGATGGAAAGGCGATTTGGTTGTTTTGATAGCAATAGTGTCACTGCTGAAAACCCGTTTTTCACCATATCAGAGGTCGGAAATGAAAGAATCCAGGGTTCTACCTCCTCAAAAATCGCAGTGTACTATTGCCCCTATAGCATTTAACTCTCATTCACACCCCGTTTTACATTGAAATAATGAAAACAAGATGATTTTTTTAAATTTTATACTAATGATTTAGGTACATCTCATTCATCTCTACAGCCTTATGACCTTCATCAAAATACATGATACATAACGGTCTTCGGTGAAATTCATCCCCCATTCCTCATCCTACCACGTCCTCCAGTCCGATCACCAGTCCATAGAATTAATCAGCCATTTGTTTTGAATTCGTGGACTCGGATGGCTCAGGGATCGGCAAATTTTACGTCGCTCGCGGGACAAAATTTAGGGTTGCTAGTCTTTTGCGGATCGCATATATTTTTTGAAAGTTAAAAACGGAACTTCGTGCAAAAACTGCGACAATTCGTGAACTCAACTCAGTCGTCTTATTAAAAAATTATTACAATGACATTTGATGTGACACTGTCTTGTTGCTGCATCACGCTTGATAGCTTTACGACGCCAAGATCGGAAGATTTCCTAATGGGCATCACTAATCCTAGTTCTTTGTAATGTTCATTTTCAAAAATATTTGTTCGCACAAATATGTACTTCGAAACATTGAAGTGAATATTTTCGCATGGCTTGTGAAAATTTGATAAAGATTTTCTTCGAGAAGATACATTCTTACAAAAATGAAGCTGTGATGAATCTCTCGATTAGAATATGAATTTGATTTCCTTATTGCATTGCAATATATTCGAATATTTACTGCGCTATTGAACCCCTGCACTCAACATTTCAACAACTTTTCTGCGTGTTTGCATTTGTCTAATTATAATTGAATTGTAGGCTCGTTAAACGAGTAGTTGTTCAATATAATTTTGGGATATAATTAAATTTAGTCTAAACGTGTCTCACGATAAATTCTGTTACGTGAAAAAAATGTAATTTACTCCTCGAGCGTAGATAAGAAATGAAGTTAATTCATCGTTAAAACCGCCGTTTGGGTGTTTCTCCTGGCAAAGACTTTCTTGTTTACTTCGTGACATTGGCCAATCAGGAAGATGCAAATATTAACGTAATAATGCCCCCTTTCGCATCCGCTCAGAAGCATTCCTCACTCAGACAGACTTTCAGGCGTGGTCGTGAACATTACCTCATTTTCGCAATTTTGAATTATATTCGTTAGTTTTTAGTTGTTTTTCGAAAATTTAAATGAAATAAGTCAATGATCACCTTGTCCTCCTAAGAGTTTCAGTTTAATTACAGTGATCAAAAATGAGTGTAGAAAGAAATAGCTGTGATAGACTACACTAGACACATTGAAACAGATTTTTGGATGGTATCAATTAGAATGATAGTTTGAACTTCATTTCATATGCAACAACTCGCGAAACCACTCTCAAAATGAACACCGAAAATTTTAGAATGGTAAAGTATGGGAAAATTTTTCCGGGGTCAAAGGTCGGGAAAAGATTCATTCAGTGAAGCGTCCCGGGCCAGATTACTACAGATTTCCCGACCAATGGGATACGCAAACTACCGTACCTTACTGCGAAGACGAGTCCAGCAATCCTTTCGCGTGTGATAATCGCCCACGTGATTCAAACCTACGAAAGCACGCAGAATACAGTAATCAAGCGCACGATGCGCCGACCAAAAACAGGTTTCGCGAAATTGCCCCCCTATCGCCCCCTTCGACTTTTTCGCCCCCCTTTGTATCGTTTTCGCCCACCGGGGGGCGATATCGCCCACTTTGGGAATCACTGTCCTAGATCTTATAGTGGAATAGTTTGACATATTTTCTGCTAAAACTTTAGGTGGAGGGTGTATAATGACCATCTACAATTCGTCAACAAAATCAACGACGTCCATAATATCTAGAGAAAGAGCGCCATCAGCTGCAACTCGTGACATGTTTTTGGGCATGGGAAACAACAAACACGGAGCAAAATTTATTGCGGTGCCTGGAGAACTCAAGGGCTTGGAGTAAGTTATTTAATCAGACTTACATACATAAAATAGCAAAGTAAAGTAACACAAGTATTCGAGCATGAAGAAAAAACGAAACCTGAGTTTTCAAGTGTCCAAATGCGTTCCGAACTACATATGATAGAGTAATTCCTCTCTGCAAAATATTTTCTTTATTTTAATTTTTAAATTCGCTTCCTTACGTTTGTTTGATGTAGGGTGCGTAGTCGCTCCCCTAGAACTCTTTGAGTGCCGAGACTGGGATTCCTTTAAAGGTTCGCTTTCAAGTCTCTAATAATAACGAGTAGAATTCTTAGTTGTGTATCATATTCTTTAATAACGAAAATGGTAAAACTGATATATAAGGATTGATAATAAATTGATCAAATAGTGAAATGATTTAAATCAAGATTAGATTGAGACAGGAGCATGCGGTTGCAATGCGTGTCGCTCTCGAGTCAAAGTGAAGTGTCTAAATTTCGAATACCCTAACATTCAAAACATGGCCAGCGCGTTACGGGGTCACACGACCCGTACATAGGTGTCGCTATAAAAGCATACACCCAAGGAACGAGTATTTTTTTCTCACTTGTGACCTGGATATTCCCGGTTAGTTTTAATACAAATACACGTAGTGCATGTGTTATACAGAGTGGCCCAAACCTGGGCCCGCGAGCTACATGTGGCCCGAAGCTTCATTATCTGTGGCCGGCGTCGCACTCGAAGAGTAATCAAAAAATTGCATTTGGTGTTGTTTGCTAGAGGAGGCAACCAGCAATTAGCCTAGGCTGGATATGCCTGAAAACTAAATATTAATGTTATGGCCAAACAATATAATTCAAGCGGGTGTTTTTTGCAACCAGCCTAAACAGTATTACAAAAAATGCTGCATGTATGTCAGAAAATTTAGTAATTATCCTCCTGTACTTCACATTTAGTAATCGATCAATCTGCAATTATTTGCATTTTGTTTTGTAAGCATGAGTTTGATAAGAAAGCTGACGAATTCAAACAGATTTTTAAATAAATCTAGGTACCACAATGTGTGCTTGATATGTCGGCAAGTCGGTGACAAAAGAATATAAATCCGAACGGCATTTTAAAATCTTGTGGGCAATAAACACTGTTTTGTATTGCACTGTTTACCTATTCTCGGCACTATTGTGGTCCGCGAACGATGCAAAAATAATTTTGTGGCCCCCGGAGCCGACAACTTTGTACCACCCTATACTCGTATATACTCAGTGTCTGATTAGATTCACTGCACTTGAGTGTCGGTAGCTAAAATTTATTTCGTACTACAGATACGCTTACAACAAATATGGAGGCAATTTATGTTGGGATAAGTTGTTTCAACCCGCCATTGATAAAGCAAGAAACGGCTTCAAAGTTAGCGGACAAATGGCTATTATGTTGAAATATCTTTACGACAAAGTCATAATTGAAGATCCGGATTCAATATTCTGTGATGTTTATTGCAACGAAGATAAATCTGGAGTAAGCAATTATACACCATATAATGACTATTTTGTTTTTAGTTTTCGCTGTTGTTCTACAAGACCAGTTGCTTTAGTAATTTTGTTCAATATATCATCATTTTCCATAAAAAGAGTGAGTTACCAAGTGATTTAGGAGAAGTCTGCACTTTTATACATAGCGACACAGACAATGTATATTTAGTTAATATTTTGTGTTTACAAAAAATCTCTGTTCAGGTTAAACAAGAAGGAGATATTGTGAAGAATCCTCTACTTGCTGATACACTAGAAAAAATTCAAAAACAGGGCGTAGATGTTTTCTACAGTGGTGAAATTGCCGATAGTATTATTCATGATATTCAAAGTAGAGGTGGAATTATGACGAAGCAAGATTTATTGGTAATTTCTCAAAACACTTTTTTTAATCACGTTTTATGTTTTCTAAATTTCTCAGGACTATAGTAAAACATTTATCACACTGTAGAATAAAATTATAGCGTGGAAGTTTGCAATTTAAGAATAATTATGAATTAACGTCGTTGCAGAAACATGTTACTAACTGAATTTCTAGTCTTTATACTTTAATGACATTATTTTCAACTATAATTTATTGCAGGATTACACAGTAATCGAAAAATCTACAATCAAGATGCGTCTTCCTAACGGCGACCACACGATGCATGCGCCTCCGTTACCTTCTGGAGGCCCGGTAGTGGCAGCAATCCTTTCCGTTATGGACCTTTTTGACATTACATTGGAAGAATTTAAAAGAACCCCTACATTGCAATATCACCGAACAGATGAGGCATTCAGACACGCTTTCGGTGCTAGATACAGTATGGGCGATCCCGCATATGACCAAATTGCACTAAATATTCAAAATCAAATAGTATCTGGGCAATATGCAAGGTCTGTCCGTACTAAAATTTTTGATGACAAAACATTCCACGATCCGGCTTATTACGGAGCTAAATTTTTGGACTCCAGTATTTCATCCACATTGCATATATCTGTACTTGATCCGGAAGGCAATGCTGTCGCTTTGACATCAACAATAGATTATTACTGGGGATCTCGCATAATGTCATCTTCCACTGGAATCGTCTTCAACAACGAAATGGCGGACTTTTCATATCCAAGTAAGATCATTCTCTTTCAAACATTATTTACGTTATCTTACTATTATTAGTACTGTTTACAATTTATAGAAGTTTATTCGGGAGCAATTTTTCTTAATCCTAATAAAATTATATTTTCCCAGATGGCGATAGTGAGCACGACTCTGAGTTGTCAGCAACAAACCAAATAGAAGGAGGTAAAATACCCTTATCTTCCATGACACCTGCTATGTTTTTGAACGATAATGATGATCTTGCTTTTATCATCGGAGCATCGGGAGGTACACGGATTCCAGCAGCAATTGCGACTGTCATACTCAAGTAGGTATACTTCGCTATCATAGCACACGTACTAGAAGTAAACTTTAAAGCCTGTAACAATTTTACTTTGTGATATACATATTCATGTATATCTATGTTCAGCGTTTTGTCTTTCACTTTTTTTTAGGTTCCTCTATTTTGGTGAAAATGACATTGGCAGTGCAATAAAGGACAAGCGTTTTTTTGACGCTTTGATACCGGACGTTCTTTACTACGACGCTGGTTTTGATGATGAAATTATACAAAATTTGAAAAAGATTGGTCACAATGTTGTGAGTATTTGCTGTTGTTTTGATTAACCATTCATACGCAGTCATGTATTAGCACTAAGGCTCGTTGTAAAATCCCATCAATGATTGTCTAACAAACGACAAAATAATTCACGATATCATAAATCATCCAAGGTAGACGCAAGCAAAAATACATCAATATAAAAAATAAAAAAATAAACGCTTTTTTGAGTCATATATATGTCTGAATATAAGCTTGTAGCGGATATGAACACTGTCGGTGAAATATTATCTTTGGCACCCATGTGCAGTTTTTTGTTTTTGCAATTTACTTAATATTTAACTACTACTACAACATTTGTTACGATGTTGGCTCAATTAGTTTGAGATCAGAAAAATTACGGCATATATTCTTAGGCTTTATTCACAATTCTACTCCGAACAAAGATCTGTAGCCTTTAATCCTCCACCATATGGGCAACAATTTTCTTTTTCAAGGTTTTCGCTTCTACGTTGTAGTTGTTCATTTACTTCAACCATTGGTGAGGTGGTGGGCTTGGGGTTCGATGCTGAGGTATTAAAAAGCTCAATTTTCACGAATATCATTTAACTGAAAAAGCTAGAGCTGAATGTCGAACGTATCATTTGTTTTAAGCAATTAGATTACTTTTCTCTTTTGGTATTCAATTTATTTGTTTGACCTTCTGACTTCACCTATTCCTATATACCACGCTTACGTACGAAAGGAGCTACTATTTATTTGGAAGGATCGTAATCTTTCAAGTTTGGCATTTATTACATGTCGGGTGAGGTGGGGGTGGAATTTGAAGCCGAAATATGTGATCTGTGAATTAGCAATTAACGTTAATTACTTGTTCTTATTCAGAGAGAGACAACTTACACCGGTCGAGTGAATGCAATCAAATGTAACTCTTCTGCGATATACGCATTTTCTGATTTGAGGGATATAGGGGCAGGACCAAGTGGCTGGTAGACAAATTGGCAAAGACATTACTTTTAAATCATGGAATGTCGAATGAAATGATTCGGGTTGAAGTTATTATTTTGCTTAATTTTTTTGTTTATGCTCTGTCTTATTGACATATTCAAAATTAAAATAAGAGCAAATCATAAAGTATGATTTATGGATCTTTTGTATTTAACAACTTGCAACAGGAAGTTATGACAGGCCGACTAAAGTTTTTAAAACTACTTTCCAAATTATTCAAAGATTATACCAGCTGTCCCGATAATTAAGCCATACTCTCTATTACATATCCCCTTGCATTGTGTAATTTCCTTATAGTGAAAGGTGTAACAGATTCAAGCTCCTCTTCTCGTTTGCGAGTCGTGATTTGAATACAGAAATACTTGAAACATGGATTTATAAGCCACGGCCGGATGAATAAAATATTCTTTTATGGAGGAGCAATACATTATATAATTTTGTCATATATATAACAAACGTTAATTTGCGACGAAATGATTTGTTACAAAACTGATTCTGCATTCCAGACAAATAGTAGTCACGTGGAATATTTATTTACTCGGAATTTCGAAATTTTCGGGACATACGGTATCATTTATACATATGTGCCCTGTCACAAATTGTCCAGCACGTTTTAAACAAAACGATTGAATTCAAGAAGAAGCATACTTATGATATTAGAATCGAAAAGTATTTAAATCGAACAGAATAAAAATATACATTCAATGAAAGTTATTGTCATGTTATACGCAATCCGACTTTATTACTCAGACAGCGTCTTCGTGTTCAATCGTTTTCTGAAATATAAAATAAATTTTCTTAGTTGCAATGAATATCAAAGAATGATAAACAATTTCTTGGTAAATTTGCAAAAACTGTGCAAATGGATTCATTACTTACCTTGCTGTGCTCTTTGCACTGTATTCGGCCGCGTATATTTGTTTGTATTTTTTCCTCAAACACGCTACACAAGAACAATCGTCGTCTTTATTTTCTTTTTCACGAGTGTCAAGTTGTTGAGTAACGTAATCGGGTTCCCGATGTTCATGGATATTTCTATCCTAATATTAAAATTCATTAGTAATGCAAAACGTTAAAAAACTTGCTTGAAGTCAATGGTTTAACTCGTAATTGGCTTATATTTATGGCCACCAACACACTCGAATCCATCGATATGATCAACATACATGTTTCGTGAATTACTATATAGACACCATGGATATTCTGATATATGCCAAAAAGTTTATCGTTCTGTGGAAACGTCGTGAAAATACATTTGACAGCTGCACGTTTTTTATCGATCTCAAACTATTTTATCACAAATTCAAAGCAGTTCGTATAAGTAATGTATAAAGATGTTGTGAGGCAGCTTTCATTCATTATCAGGCTAGAGTGATATACTCGCAAAAAATAGACGTACCTTCCAGATCCAAAACATCAATTTTAAGCATATCAAAAATATGCATACAGACAGGGTTCCAAGCAGTATAGACGTTCTATGAGGTTCCAAAATCCCACAAATTGTATCTCTAACGCGGGTTGAAATCCATGCAATGGCATGTCGAAAAAATCGCAATATCCACAATTTTTCATTAGGCGCTGCTATATTTACAACATGCTGCACATTTCTACGGGACACGAAACGTCTGGAATTGTGCACGAATACTTTCCTCATTTTAGAATAGCAAATATATTTACATATTGAAACAGTATTAAAAATCAGCTATGGCATCAGTGAAAAATACTTTTAGATTTCATCGCTTTTTGGACAAGAGGCGTCAAGTGCTCTCAGATATTGATCGGTGATTTCTGTATCGAGGATTCCATTTTTGACGAAACTTCAGCCTGGTGGCATTATACAGTATGACGTCACTGAAATAAGATTCCGAGTATTCAAACACCAGAACTACGTTTTCCCAACCGGGGAGAAATTTTGTTTTGTATTTGTAGTATTACAAATATTCTTTAGTTCTTTATTATTACTCTAATTTTAATACTTATTCATACACACATAATAAACTACAAAGGTTGGTAATCCCTAGACTAGAATAACAATGCGAAATGAGCGACTATATGTATCGCTTCCAAAAGCGGCAATCTGGCAACTAACTGAAGAAAGCGTTGAAGGTTAGTTGTTCCACCATCTGGCAGCACATACACGGTTGGCAGTCGTTTTGAAATGCCTTTTCGGGTAGTGGTTCTCTGATAAAAGTCGTTGAAATTATCAAAAGCGATTCCAAATGGTTTTAATAATAGTATATATATATGTCCCTCTTATGATTCAATTCAATTTGACATAATATTCATCGCGCGATAATCTACGCTACTTCAAACCCGGACATGACGGTATTGTTTTTGAATTATTTATCATATAAATACTGCTTTAGTATGGCACTTCAACAATATGATTAGTGAACGATTCATCGTTTAACCGCAAAGGTCGTTGTTGAATACGTGTAGAGAATTCAACCTTTTGTCACATTGTTTTCTGCAGTTCAGATAAATATCACTGTGTACGTAAAGTGTAAGGATTTGTGGGGAAATTATCAAACACCGTTGATTTAAACATTTTAATTACGTAAATATAAAACCTGGCGTCGAAAATCAAAATGGATGAAGAAAGTGTCGATAGCAAGACTTCTACAGAAACATATAACCTGAAATCTAGAACCTTTCGAATACCGTCGCACAGTGACAGTATTTTAGAAGTTTTGAATTCTCAGAGAGAAAGAGGAGAATATTGTGATATTACAGTTCTTGTCGAGCATCAACGATTTACAGCTCACAAGTGTGTTTTAGCAGCAAGCAGTCCGTATTTTGACACTCTACTTTCTTCTGATAATGACGGGTTATATTTGCGGCAAGTGAGCGTCGACAGTTTCAGAACAATACTGGATTTCATGTATACATCAAAACTTCAACTGGAACCTGGAAAAATTCAAGATATACTCTCGGCAGCAAAGTTTTTGCAAGTCAAAGGAGTTGTGTCAATATGCTGTCGATATCTCGAAACGCAAATCAAAGCGTTGGCAAAAAATATACAAAATAACCCAGAGCAGAATTCGAGTCCAGCAGCTGTGTTGTCGGTTGAGTCGAGAGTCCCAGAAAATGCCACGATACCAATGGCAAATTATTTATCCCCCATTTCTGGACAAAATTCAAACCAGCCATTACTACGGAGACCACCTCAGTTTTTGCCACAAAATAACTATATTGGGGCTCCAGATGTAGGGCGGCCTGCTCAACACGAATTAGCAAATAATTACAACTTCAGTCCACCTGCCTTTCGAAATGATGACGCGTCTCGATACTCAACAGCGTTTCCTAAAGTTCCCCAACCTAAAGAAATGTTTCATTCAAACCCATCTAACCAATATCAAATAAATCCATATAACGATCAACGGAATTTCAACGATGCCAAAAGCGATGAAAGGATTCCTCGACGTCCCGATCACGGGAATTATCCAGACAGAAGAAATCACAACTATGATCCCTCAAGGCGTCATCAAGTTAACGCAGATGGGCGTCTTTCGCACTGGAATCCGAATTATGGAGTTGGTGGTCCACATAATGTAAGTAGTCCAAAGCCCCACTCGAAATCGGCTGATATGTGGGACCGAAAACGCGGTGAACGCAATTTACTTTTATCTCAACCAACATTATCGAACCTAGGTCGGAAGGAAAACAAACAATTTCCTCAAATCTCTCTCACTGACAATGCAAAATCAGTGCGACAAGCATTTAGGACAAATGATGACGAATTTGCCTGTCCGTCACTTATTAATTCACCGATCCCTCGATATCACTCAAACAACCATGGTCGAGCTTCTGCTTCAAAAAAATTTTATATTGAACAATCACATTCCCCGGGCGGATTTGCTACAATCTCTTATTAATATGTGCAATTTTCTATCCATTTTCATTGCAACCAATGGCTTTTTTATAAACATGTACCTTTGACTAATGGTTTTTCTAATAATTGTTGATGAACGTAATCGATTCTCCAAATAGATATGTTTTGATTTGTTGAAATTTGCTGAATCGATTCCAACACTAGACCCACAGTCACAAATATTTGTCACATGTGTTTATATAGATTTTTTATTTTCCCTAGAATCGGAAGACCTTACCCACATATTCATACCCGCCGTATCGTCAAAGGATTACGTGATTCGAAGACAACTCCCCTCTTAGAGAAAAGGGGAAGCCATTGAGGCTTTTTATCCAGACTTGACACTCATGGGCAAACGTGTTATTTCTACATATTCTCTTTTTATATCTTGAAGTGCCTATTTATGTCTCGACTATGTCATGAATAAAAGTAAATTAAATATATGACGTCCATTTTAAAGCGTTATGTTGAAGCTTGTTGTTGATTGTTACCAACTTACCAATGCTAGACGATTGTTGAGTTGCTATATTCGTTTTCTTCGTGCTAACTTGCTTCGACAGATTTCAATTACACACATTTATCAAACAAAGAATATTATTGAAACTTTGATGTTGTATAAATTATGTATTAACTGCATATCTGTGTTGTTTTTATTACCCTATTTTCCTAATAAAATAGAGAAAACACGTGGCAGACATTTTCATAATGAAATGATATGACAGAGAAGAAGGTGATAATAATATGCAAAATAGTAGAGATAGTCGGATCGGTTAAACCTTGGCAAATTTATTCGTTTTTTCAACGTTCGACGATTACAGCACATTTGTAACGTACACCGCATCTGGCGAATAGCGTTATATTTTTTTCTTTCCCACAGTTATTAATTATCGATCTTAAGATCGGTAAGTATATTGATAGGTATTTGTATGTATGTCTGTCTGTCTCTGTGTGTGTGTGTGTGTGTGTGTGTGTCTGTTAGATGCACGCGATATCTCACGAAAGCGAGATTGAATCTGCTCCAGATTTTGCATGTGCATTCATCTTATCTCGGACCAGATTCCTATTGATTTTGGGCGAATTATGTCGTATAATTAGCGAGTTATCAATCTATTATTGATTAAGTGATCTAGATTTTTCTAAAGCGAGAGAATTTTGAGACCCGCCGAGTGTGTGTGTGCGATGCGCAGTGCGCAAGTTACACGAGCGGATGAATCGAAACTGCAGTTTCTGTTTTGGGGGATCCCCTAACTATCGATCGATAAGTATTCGGTTTCCAACCGATATTCTCGTTTATCAGTTGAATGATTTCTCTGAACAGTTTTTTGAATTTTGTGCAAAACATCTTGCATACCATTAGAAAAGTTCTTCTGACCGCCATTACTTTGCGTACCACGGATTCGGAACCACTAATCTACAACCTACGAAACGACATAGGTAATCAACGATGCGACGACAAAAGCGCTCCTTAGGCTTAGTGCGGTGTACTGGATCAACCGTCTATTCAGATTCTGAAGATCTCTATACGAATCCCAAACCCCTATCTATCGCTTGAAGTTATCAAAATGTTTCTCTGGCCCCGACTCTCATACTCACGTTCTCTTTGCCATGTTGTTGGCGATTAAAAATTCCGCAAAAATTCTTAAGAAGTCGATTCTGAAAAATAGCTCTACTCTATTATTCATCAAATTTTGCAAAATTCATATTCATATGCGAAAGCTAGTGTGATCAATTTTATTCGGAAAGGTAGCAGTGACATCAGAATGCCCGATTTCTAATTTCAAGAGAGCAAAGTTTTGGGCTTTGAGGAAATTGTAAATTAGTTTCTAAAACTTGAGCAGTCATGTAACATTTATGGTTTGAGAATAATTATTTTTCGCTATTTAGATAATACAGATTTACTTGAATAATTCGAATAAATCTTAAATAAATGATGAAACATTCACTCCGGGTACAATTGAATAATCAAATTAAATGGAACATAGAAAACGCCAATTTTTTGTGGCGATTTCTTTAAGAATGCGAGTTAGCGTTTATCTGCATATTATGTACTCATTCATTTTAGTGTATGACCGACCTTATTACCGATCAGTCGATAGCGAGCTATGTTGAAGACTTTAGTCGATCGCGGTCAAAAGCATGTTGGCCACCCCTGCTATAGAATAACACATTGAATGCATTTTACAAGGCAAGGTTCGAGAATTTCTGTTATATCTATGTTATTTGATCTTATTCGTAAAATACAATTTCAAAATGTAAAATGCAAACCAGTTAATTATAAACCAGTCTGTCTTTTTATAGACTTATACAAACTTGAGTGTAGCATATTTTTCTATTTATTTATTCTCCAGTTTTTCTTAATATCGTTGGTACTCAGAACAATCTGTAAGGTCAGTTTTGTGCTAACGTCATAATATTATGCGATCACATTATGTATCTGAATCACATCATTAGCTGATGGTGTTGGAATGGAAGTGGAAGCCCACACGATCCAACCTATTTTTCAATGTAAACAAGAGAACAGTTGGAAAAATAATTGAAGAGGATTTTATGATTAAATGTATATATATTTACTTACCCGGGTTTTCAAAACCGCTAAGACGTCTGCATAAATTATAGCGTAGAGCAGAGGTTCCCAAACCGAGGCCCGCGGGCCAAATCCGGTCCGCGTAACGTTTTAAATGGCCCGCCGAGTTTGGTGAAATAGTGTGCAACAGATTTTGTTTCACTTTTTTGCATTCTAGATAGCGTTCTCAGCCTCTATAGCAGCCTGTTTCGCAACTACAAAAATTGAAAGCAAATAAGCGATACATTAAGCATAAGACAATACAAAATTTTATTTCAGGAAATCTAGGTGCAAGGGCGTGAAAATACCATTCACTGCTATTTTGAATATTCTTATTTTTCTAGTTTTGAAAGATAAAAAACTTGGATATATATACATATAAATATTTTTGGTAAAACTATATAAAAAAAACGCATTGAGCGAACGAACGGTGAGAACGAAGAGAGATTACAAACAATTACCTTACCAAATTACCAACGTTTCTTGAGTTATATGTATTTATAAAAAGTGCATTGATTATAACATTTATGAAATGATTCCAAATTACCCGAGGAAGTCTTTGAAATATACTGTCTCAAAATGCAGAAACCTAAAAGTTCAGAATTTAATACTACACTATTTCTACTTGATCAACGGCTGATATTTTTTATCAATTTCAATGTAGACATATTACCGCGTTCCCTGCTGTTCACAAACAATCATGCTTTAAACAAAATTATCCAAGGGCATTTATCGAACATGCTCGGATAATGGTACTACCGAAATAGAATTATCGAATGAGCCTTCGATTTTTTATACATAGATGTAGCTTCTGCTTACATTCATTTTAAACAAAGGTACGAAAAAACTATAAAAAATAAGATGATAAAGTAATAATAATATGAAAAATTAGAGCATTATAAAAAAGTAAAACCGAGCATGTTTATATCTTTCAATATCTGCCGTGAATCCATCATCTGTTGCAATTATGTTGCTTAAAGCTCTCCAGGAAACACCCGTTGAAAACTCATCACTTGTGTGTATGGAAACGTACCATATCCCAGGCAACTAAATATGGAACTATAGTCGTAGACAAGTTGATTTCCTCAGCCAACTAATATCACAACACAGCACTATTGAAAATAACACCGTATCGTTATTGAACTAATTTGCTTCCCAGTTTGACATAGCCAAGCAACACAACGACGATAACACCGATGGTCCCGTTACATATGAGAAAAAACCTTCAAAAACAATGAGATTCTGAGTACCAGCGGGTGCTTACGTAAATAGGTCACGCGAGCCGGAAAGTGGACCACGGGACGTATGATGCACTTCCCCCCTCCGAGGATCACCCAAACTACTAGATGACTAAGTTGCTCCACATTTGAACTGGTTTGCGTAAAACAAAGTTGTTCCTGACGAGAAGAATAAATGAGAAGATGATGTCTCAAATCTATTGTTAGGATATATACATTTAATGGAACATACATTCCATACATGGAACTTCACTGGGATTGAAAATCTTTGCAAAATTGTATATTACTGATTCTAATATGAAGTCGTTACGCTATCCATTTTCAGAATAGTAATGTACATTTTTTAATTTGTGTGTAAACCAATTTCTTTTCTCACCTAAGTCTTTACATTTGAATTTTAGGGGCAAATAATCTCGTTGTAATTGATTATCTAAGTTTATGTCCAGGCTTGTCCATTGGACATAGTTTGCTTTCCGACCCCCTCCCACAGCCTTTTATGCCTGTCCCATCCTATTCCATGAGATTTCCATTGGATTATAACTCAATAAAAATATTGAATTTACGAAAATTTAAGTTTTAGTGTCTGCTGAATAGAACTACATGTACAAAGTACAAAGAGACATGTGAAACGACAAATATATTGACTTTGTTAACTTTGAAATACAGAGGTATTTTCTAACTATGAAAATTCAGTATTCCAGCGCCCACCGCCGAAACCTATCGAAAAAGTTTCCAGAGATAGGACAAACGCTTTCTTTTCTCGGAAAACACGTTAAACACAAAATTTCTGAGTTATGTGGACACCATCCCAGACCTATACATGCTAAGTTTTGTACGTACTATCGTGCTACCACGTTACTTCCCCATCATGTTGAAACCGTGTCGGCAAGGACATACTATTAATTTTGTAGACGCACAAAAATTGTTTCACTTATCCCGCATGTTCCAATTACCCCACGTCTCTCACGGGAAATGCAAATGCGAGGTAGAGGTAGAAGATTGGTTGGGGCGGTTGAGATGTGTAACACCCGATAGTTCTAAGTCGAGTGCCACCTCGAAAGCGACAAACCCAAATAGTGGCCAGTGCATCACGCGACCAATTACCGGCCGATCCGACCCGGACGTAGGTATCGTTATAGGTCCAAATAATTTATAACTATTAGGATCTGGGCATCGCTATCTGTCGATGCAGGATCGATTTTC